AAACTGTGTGTGTGTGTGTGTGTGTGTAATAAATCATGTTAATAAAAAATGTTACTGCCAGTCTCCAAATCTGCTTGCGGGCCAGATCATGGTAATATTTTTCTCCCTCATTTCTTGAGATGTGGTCTGTAGAACAGTATTTCTGATGTGGAGTAAGTTAGTAAGCATTGTATTAAAACAAGATAGTGCTTTATTTAGCCAAATAATTTTGGGAAACAGGTTGAATGATGGGAAACAAGTTTTTTTCATCCTAGAACTCAGGATATCTTACATGCAAACAGAAAGTTTGATGCATAGTAGTTAAGCAGACTTTTCCTTTATCGCACTCTTACTCCCCTTTCGGGGGATGTGGGTATATATATGGAACATCTCATGGGACTAGCGGTACCAGTGGAACATGCTTGCCTACTAGAAGTCTGCCTCCTGATACCCTTGGCTTCTGCTTATTGCCTTCTCACTATCTTCACCTCTGTGTTTATACCACTCTGTGTATGATTGTGTGTGTGTGCGTGTGCACGCACACCTTATATTTAAACTTGCTGAGGGAAGATGTGATTGTATGTGGTAACCTTTATTCCCAGAGTAAGATACTGTCTTTGAGTAGAGTTATTGTATGAAGCTATCTCATAGGCCCTTGGTTAGTATTCTTTGGACCAATTGGACCAGGTAGCTAGTTATTTCTAGAGAGGTAGATTCATAGGACTTTGTTTTCCCTTGGGGGACTTCCTTTTAATTTTCTGTCATTTGACTGTAATGTTTCCAGGACTATCTGTGTCTTATTTATCATTGTTTTCAGGACATCTTAACAGAGGAACTGATACATACTAGATGCTGGATCAGTCTATGTTGAGCCTTTTAGCCTGGCAAGCTCTGGCAGTCATCTGAGAGTGGAACAGTATACCTGGCAGTCATATTGGTTTGACCATTATGGATGGGTTACTTTTTTCATTTTACTATATTCTCCAGTATCTTTTGAAGAGAAATTGGCTCCATCAGATTTTATAAACATCCGAAGTAAAAAAGAAGTTCCTTTGAATATGCTTTTGTCTGCCTTGTGACAAATAATTTCCTTTCAGATTCATTTCAGATGCCACAGTCTTGGTGAAGCTGTGATTTTTCTCCAACCCCGTTACTCATCTGTTCTTGGTGTTGCCATAGCCCTTGGTACATGCATCTTTCAGTACATGTCCCACGGTTTTTGTGCATTTTTGTCTTCCAGCCAGACTTTGAGTTCATTGAGGGTGGAGATGCTGAATGGAAGCTTAAGTAATATCTGTGTGCAGTTAAGATCTAATCAAGCATTTAAAATATCTGTTTCCTGGAGAAGGGGAGGAGAGAACAGCAGAGAAGCAATCTGAGCATCTAGAAGATACTTTGGTGTTTGTTATATGTGGGCTAGTGAAAGAACAGTTGCTAACAGGATTCAGCTGGCTGAGTAAGGCACTTGGTTTGGCACTTTGAATGTATTGTCTCATTGGGTTAATTTGACCCTCACAGTGAGCTGTGAGATACTTGTGATTTCCTTTTACAGTTAAGGAGACTCAGTGGTTTGCTGTCGTCACGCTTGTGTAGTAATAGTAAAGTGCCTACAGGCTGTTGAATAAAGGAGGGACTGGGTCTGACTCTAGCCCTTGTGTGGCTCCCTGTGTGCTGCCCAGCATACCAAAGTCAAATTGTGGTGGTGAGCTTTGTGCGTGTTTTTCTCTTAATCCTTTAGGGGAATTCTGTCCATGAGAGCATATTTCTATTTTTGAAATGGAAACCAGTGAGAAAGTATGATTTATTAATAAGGTTTTACTCTAAGCCTATGTTGGAATATGTTTTCTGTTTGAACTGAGGTATGTGCTCATAGATGTTAGTTGTCTGAAATATCCTTTTTACCCTAATTTCAAATGGCGTTATCACCAAATAGCATGACTCTCCTTTTGATTCTGTTAACATTTCTTCATGATACCTACAGCTAACTGGTTTCAGTAGTTTGCTCATTTGAAAGTAGTTGTCACATAGAGCCAGATGTTTTTAGAAATGATAAGTTTGGGAACTTTATCTGATTAAAGGTCAACTTCTTATATTAGCTTCTGTTGAGTTTTTAGTGTCTCTTTTTTTTTAATTTTTTTTTTAAGATTTTATTTATTTATTTGACAGAGAGACAGCGAGAGCAGGAACACAAGCAGGGGGAGTGGGAGAGGGAGAAGCAGGCTTCCCACGGAGCCGGGAGCCCAATGTGGGACTTGATCCCAGGACTCTGGGATCACGACACAAGCCGAAGGCAGACGCTTAACGACAGAGCCACCCAGGCGCCCGAGTTTTTAGTGTCTTTCTAGATAAAAAGATAGTCTCTGCTTTATAGTAGATAAAATGTGTCCTGCGAGTCCTTTATATCTCATTGTAAATGCATAGGGGATGACGTCCAAGTAGATAGGTGTGGCAGGAGCTATAGTTGATTGCTCTCTTTGCTATCTCAGATAAGGAAAGTTCCTAATTACAAAATGGATGCTGAAATTATAGCTATGGTCAGTTACTAGAAGCCTGAATAGGTTAAATGTCATCTCATTAAAAATAAGGATGTTACATATAGTACACTGTAATGTTTTTTCCATTGACTCAGTAAGTATTTTTTGACCACCTATTATGACGGGCAGTTTTCTACTCACTGGACATTCAGAAGTAAACAATGTTGTTGAAATTAATGTCCGAAAATTCACTAATTCTATCTTAAATTATTGATTATCTCTAAAATATTCTTTGGGGCCCCTGGGTGGCTCAGTCAGTTAAGCGTCCTACTCTTGATTTCCACTCAGGTCATGATCTCGGGGTCGTGAGATCGAGCCCTTTGTCGGGTTCCGTGCTGAGTGTGGAGCCTGCTTAAGATCCTCTCTTTGCCTCTCCCTCTGTACCCTTCCCCTGCCCACGTACACGCACACACTGTCTCTCAAAAAAAATTCTTTGCTATTATCTGCCACTATATCTCTTCACATCTACTAAAATCATAGATTTTACTGTGCATTTAAGAAAATCAGCTGTCATGCCCTGATTTCCCTTCTCATAAAGTTAAAGTACCTCTAAACTCAAAGTTTTAATTATATAGGCTAATAATTTCATGCAGATCAAATAATGAAATTTAGAACCATTCATTGTAAACGCTTAAGCCAAAATCTCGTGTAGGCGAAATTAGTCACTTTTCATGTTACAGAACTCTCCAGCTTCTAACATAGGAGCCAATAGTGATTAAGCACTATGTGCCATACACACTGTTCTAAGCTCCCGTATGTATTACAGCTCTTTTAGCGCTCAGTACAGCCTGTGGTGGCTCCTATTACCCCATTTCACAGATGTGCAAATTAAGGCAAATAGAAGTAAAGTGTCTTGTCCTTAGTCACATAATTTGTAAATAAAGGAAATGTATGTATAACTTTGTCAGTTGGAATCCAGAATCCAATACTCTTCCTTACTAATTTTATGTACTTTGAATATGCAGATGTATAAACATATCTATTTTAAATGTACTTAATTTTCTGAATCTCTGGTGATACAGTGAAGGTACAGTGCTGGCTATGTTGAAATAATCTATTGCTTTTTCCTTCTTCCCTCTACTATTGGTGCAATTCTATTCTTCCTCCTCCTCCTCCTCTTCTTCTTTTTTAAAGAAACATTACTATAAAAGGTTTAATAATGAAAGTCCAGATTCTCCTTTGCACGTCTTTTAGGCATGAGTTTTCCACCTCTGCTTCCTCTTTTCCACAAAGAGGAGGAAGAAAAGGTTCGAGGATAGAAACCAGCCCTTGAATTGAGTTTCTCTGAGACTATCTTTTGCAATCCCTTATCAGAGTTGTACTTACTTGAAATTGAAATGTCCTTCATATCTTATTGCATTGTTTAAGATACATCTGTGGAAGACATTAATTTCCACACAATGGATGAACGAATGAGTATCCGTTTTGAGAGTGTAAGGGCATTCATCTGGAGGATGAAAATGTCTGAGGGAGCGTTCAGTTTTCACGTGAGGTCCAGTGGCTGCTTATATCTATGCGGGGGAAGGGAAGGCGTATGTCTGACCTGACCTCACAGTTGGGCCTGCCCAGGGTTGTGCATCTTAATTAGGAATGAGTCACCACTTTATGTTTTGCCATTGATTAGACAATGAGCTTTTCTTTTGTAGCTGTTAAAGGCTTTTACATCTCTGTTGTTAGCAGTTTCTTAAAGTATTTTTTTTTAAGATTTTATCTATCTGAGAGAGAGAGAGAGCTTAAGCTGAGGGGAGAGGGAGAAGCAGGATCAAAGAGCCTGACATGGGGCTTGATCCCAGGACCTCAGGACCATGACCAAAGTCAAAGGCTCAACCGACTGAGCCACCCAGGGGCCCCAGCAAAACAAAAACAAAACAAAAAGTATTTAAGGCAAAAGTATGTTACATCTTTGGAGGCAACTCCAGTTCCATTACCTTGTATCTTAAAATTTTGTTCTGAAGAGTGAATGTCCCATCATCCTCAAGAAAAAGCTTAGCTTGAATTGAAAACAATTTTTTTTTCCTATTCTACCAATATCATGGAACAGAAATCAAACCTAAGTACCGATGGGATAAATCATATTAGGATACAGTGAAGACTTGGGCCAAATGATTTTCCTGGGGGAGTATACCTTGTAGAAAGGACATAAGCCACCTTGAGGAATTGAGGGAGGCAGTTTGGACATATTTCTGTACTATTTTAAAAATAAATGAACTCCTAGCACCTTATTTTTTGAGTCCTTTTTATATTTTTGTAGAGTAGGGAATAAAGCATAGAGCATTTGATCATGCTTTCATTTTAGAATTTATGCTTTGCATATGTGGGGGTAGGGAGGATTCTAAAGTGAAAAAGTTGTTAATCACTCTTGTATTATAAAAGATTGGGAAAGATATATTATGCTAAATAATGTTATCAGATGTGAAGTCCTTTAGTTACAGTACTCATGGAATCTTTAGTGCTTGAAAAGTAAAGATACCATTTCTTTTCCCGCAGAAACGTGCGAAGGGACAAGTGTTATTTGACAAAGTGTGTGAACATCTCAATCTCCTGGAGAAGGACTACTTTGGACTTTTATTTCAGGAAAGCCCTGAGCAGAAAGTAAGTGAAATGATTTCAAGTTCATGTGTATCTTCTTAGAAAAATATTGTATTTTTTTTCTTAAGCAGTATAAAATTTTGCTTTAAAATGATTTATGACATATTTTTATATTAATTGTAGAAATTTGGTAAATATTAAAAACCTGTGCAGAGAGAATCACCTACAACTTTTTTGCCATTGTGTGTATGTTTTTCCACTAATACTGTAAGCAGATAGAATGGAGTGTTCTATTCTGTGTTAATTATTAGAGACTGAAAGAACTGATTTAAACATTTTTTATGTTGAATTTTTAGTTCTTGAATTCACTTGTATGCTAGGACTTAAGCATGCCTAAAAAGCAGGGAGGGAAGCATATTGGAAGGAATGTCAGGAGGACCAATGCGTACTTACCTGGAGGCTTGGGAGGGCGCCTTTGCCTGGCTGTACGCTCCGTGGGGGCTGTGTGGGGTGAATGTGTTCTTTGCCCTGTTGTTGGGTTACGGGGAGGCAAAAAAGGAGGTGGGGCCCAGCCTGACTCAGTTGGTAGATTCAACCAGCCAGGACCCTGGGCAAATCTGCCTGACACCAAGTGTGTTGAGATTGTTCTGCTCCAGGAATTTCCCAAGACACTAAGCAGGAACATCAGAGTACTCTAATGCTTGATACTAAGCATTTGCATTCCAGAGAATGTCAGGGCTTCTCAGTTTCATGTGTAAATTAAAGAGGGAACTATTAATCCAGTCTGGCAATTAACCAGATAACCTGCAGCCTTCTGTCTTAGTCAACTAGTTTGGGCATTTCTAACAAAGTACCATAGACTGAGTGGTTTATAAACAACACCGGAAGGCTGGGAAGTCCAAGCTCAAGATGCCAACAGGTTCAGTGTCATATAGATAGTGCCTTCTGTGTCCTCACAAGTGGAAGGGATGAGGAGCTCTCTGATCCTCTTTTATGAGGGGGCTTACTATTCCCATTCATGAGGGCTCCACCTTCATGATCTTTATCACCTCCCAAAGGCCTCACCTCCAAATATTGTCACATTGGGGAGTAGGTTTCAACATATGAATGGGGGGGGGCTTCGCACATCCATTCAGTCTCTAGCACTCTCCTCGTTGTTAAGAAAGGACTGTTCCTCTTCTACTTGACTTTGAGTAATGGGATGTAACTGTGGTGAAGATACTGAGTGTAGGACTGAAGGGGGTAAAGGTTTGGTCATGTTGCACCCTACAGTGAAGCCCTTTTAGGTCTGTTCGATTGTGGCTGTGGACAGACTCGCTGAGATGGTACTGTCTGTGTATGCCATCCCCAGCACTTGGTCACAGGGAAAGAAGTTACTTTCTTGTATCTAACATTTATGTCACAGTCGATAGAACAAAATAGTCAGTAGGTGAACATAGGCGGTGAAGTTCATTTGCCCACATGCTGTCATTGTTTATATGTCCTGGTAATGAAATACAGAGTATTAAGGGTGATAATTACATCTAAATTAAGTTTTCTCAAGTGTGGAATTAAACCACCAATTAAGTATCAAAGCTTTAAATGAAAGACAATTAAATTGCATGCCTGCCTGCAGAATAGTATGCAAATGTTCTTACTAGAATCCTGTTTAGAATGCTTTTCTCAGAAGTAGTAACATATTAGATATTCGACTAAGTAAACTAGGTGCTCTTTTTAGACCTGAAATTAAAAGGTGGTCTTGATAATATTTCTAACCATGTGCCCTTCTGCTGGCCCTCAAAACTGTCAAAGAGAAAGTGATGGGAATTTGGCTATCATTATCCACTTTTTCTGAGGTTACATATGGGGAGGGTCATAAGAGCATTTAAGCTTTGTGAAAGAGGGAAACCATCTAGTATGTTGTAAAACATGTAGAAAAACATGTTCTGTTAGTAGAAACAGGATATGCTACATAAAGACATTTGGTATTTCTGCAACCCTAGATTTACATAAGGAAGAGTGGTATTTAGATAGTAGGATTCACTAGTTTTTATCTTTATGACTTCCAATATATGTGTCTAATCTGTATCTTTGACTTGAATCTCAGACTCTTAACTGCCTACTGGACACTGTACTCAACTCTCTCAAAGCAAACTGGCATCTTCCCCTTAAACTTCATCTGTCCCTTGAAGAGTCGATATTGGTCCCTTCCACTCTTTCCAATTCCTTTCATTGCTTACCAATCAAAAAGGTCTTGTCTTTTCTACCTGCTAACATCCCTCTCCTAGTTCTCTTGGTCCACAGTTTTGGCTTTGGTTTACTCCCCTGTCCTCTCTTGCTTTGACTATTTTGTTAGCTTCCTTTGTGGATGAAAGGTCTGGTCCCCGGCCCCTAGGATCACGCTTCATACTGCTGCTAGACTGAGTTCTCAGGAGTGCATATGGGATCCTGTTGTGTTTGAAACCCATGCAGTTTCAACAATAGCATACTATAGGGTAAAGGAATTTAAGCCGCTTGCTTCATGTCGAATATTCTCTGTGTTTATAGAAGTTTCAGTCACTTATCTCAACATGAATTGAAGGTGAGGTAAAGCCATAGTTATTTGTATGAAAATTTTCCAGGGAGAGAAAATCTAAACTTTCCTTCGATTTTAGTGTAGTACTGTGTCTCATGGTTGAGATCTTGAGTTGGAAGCCTTTCAATTTACTCTAAGTATGAAAATCTATCATTATTAGTGTTAGAACTTTTTAATGTCTCTTGAGAAGTTTTATGTAAACTTTACTATGGAAAATGCCATTAAAAATATGTGGAATCAAGCAACATGTTACTCGTTTATATATGGAATTTCAAGTCCATATAGTTCTTGTATTCCTATCTAACTGGAACCATCATTAAGGGGTTTGGACTCTCTTTAAAGGGAAAAATATTGTCTTGAATTTTTGATGTTAATAGAGTTTGGTATCTGGCCCAGTGATTATGTTATTTTGCTTCAAGCCATATTGAAAGAGGAGCTTATTAGAAGTGTAGTTGATATCCACAGCTAACTTTATGAAAATGGATTAAAATGTTTGTCTGATAGCCTGACCATTTCCCTCCAGAAACTAGAAAAACCCAAATATTAGACTCTTTGTCATATATAAACTATTCTTTAATAAAACTCTATATTCAGCCTAGTGGTACCTTCTAATACCATAAGCAGAAGTTTGAATCACGTTCTCCCAAATGCATAGTGAACATTCTGTTGTAACGTAGAAAGCCTGTAACTTTTCTGCTAACACCAGCATTAGGGTGGTGTTCTGTTAGACCTAATTTAGGCAGAGGTGTAATAAAAGGGATCTGCTTCAGTGCTATAAATTCTTAAGGGAAACTGCAGATTTTAGGCAAATTTACTTACACTTTTAACGTTTGATGATACAGGGTCGGGTGAATTTAATGTCTCTCACCTGGCCAGATTGACAAGCACCAAGCGTAAGTGGGGAAGGCACAGCTAAGCATTTTGAAAAACTTCTAATTCTGGGGGTCTCAGCATCCAGCCTGAAAGGGAATCAGGCGAGATGGATGTTTATTGGGGCAGGTTGAGGGGGGGTGGATTTGGATGTAGATGTTGTGAGGGTGTCCTGGGTCCGTATCTAGGTCTACTCTGCTCAGTGGCCTGCAGCCCACTGAGGACCGCAAATGGGCTGCTGTTGGTTGATGGGCTTGGCTGTTCTTCTTTGTCAGGTGAAAGTGGTTAGCACCTTGATGGAATAAAGACTGTAGGGCTTGACATTATTGGATACAGCTGTTTAGTGTGATGAGCGGAGTTCAAAGACACACTTCTGTGTAGGAACGTGGAAGGCAGTGTGATGTGCTAGGGCTTTCTGCAGGAGGCTGTCAACAATAGAATATTTAACCAGTGAAGGCTGGGCATCTACCTGTCAAGCCAGTTAAAGGACTTGAAAAATGTCTCTCTACTTTCGACTTCTGGGAAAAGACATTAAAAGCAATCTGTGGGGGCGCCTGGGTGGCTCCGTTGGTTAAGCAACTGCCTTCGGCTCAGGTCATGATCCTGGAGTCCCAGGATCGAGTCCCGCATCGGGCTCCCTGCTGCTCAGCGGGGAGTCTGCTTCGCCCTCTGACCCTCCCCCCTCTCATGTGCTCTCTCTCTCTCATTCTCTCTCTCTCAAATAAATAAATAAAATCTTTAAAAAAAAAAAAGCAATCTGTGGCTATACTGCTCAAAGAGTGATCCAGGGGGCCCCAGCATTGGCACTACCTAGAATTTGTTAGAAAGGAAAATTCCAGGTCCTTACGGTGGACGTACTGAGTTATAATCTGCGTTTTGACCAGATCTTCAGGGGACTCAGGTAAACCTTTAAGGTTTGAGAAGCACCGATGTAGGGGATCACTTTGAGGTGACAGAATTGTAGAGGTTTGGAATGTTACAAAAGCCAAGGGAGTAGTGGGCCCTAATAAGCCCAAGTGGCTCATGGTTCCAAAAGTGTGCCAACAGCCATAGCCAATTAGGTAGGCGTTAGGCCATTCCCATTATTCGTGGACATTTAGACCGTGTAGTCTCTGAGGTTTTTCCTAACACCAGCATCCTGTGAATCTAACTATAATGATTTGTAATCAGGGCTTTATCTTTTTGTAGATGTTTTTGTTGTTAGAGGATAATTGAAAATCACCTTTTTTTAACCCTTTTTCTGGTAACAGGTATTAGAAGTGTTGTAGAGAAGACTTGGTTAACCAAGACTGTTTCACCCTCAGATTTGTAGTGATCAGGAGTAGGGTAAAGGAGCTTCTCTGACCTAAGGACTTCAATGTAAAAAGAAATATGTGTATAGATACTTGCTTTGCTCCTTAGATTTCTGTAACCTTCTAAGGCAGGTTTTTGTTTTGTTTTTAACCTTTTTTGTGTGTCACGTATTCCTTTGGCAGTCTATAGAGTGAATTCTATGACAAAGCTAAAGGTACTGCTGATATTAACCAGGCTTTTTTCTCCTACATTCATAATTGATGGTAATGCTCAATTTCAATTAGAGGTCAGTGAAAGTGAAGACATATCATTTCCCCCCCCAACTGATTCATAGTCTTCCAGTTTCGTGTTCTAAGATGATTCAATAACACTGGGTTCTAGGACTCCATTTTAATTTTGGTTTACTTCTGTTGGAAGCCTGTGATAGGATTCCTTGTAATTTTTATTTATTCCTTGGTTTACCTGATGTTCATTCAGAAAATAAGTATGTATTGAGTTCATACTTTGGGTACAGAGAGGGGGTAAAAAGGGGAAGGTGAGGAGAGGGATACCAGATTGAGTGAATGAATGTCCCTGCCCTTAAGTGTAGCTGCCAATATACTTTTATTTCTAAGAAGCCAAGATAAATTTTATTGACATCCGGTGTGGATTTTAGCTCTTTTTAGTTTTGCATTGTTGCCTGTACCTTAAAGTTTGGGGAACACTGAGAAAAATCCCCATCTTGCCTGATTATGAATTGCCTGAAACTGTCACTCAAAACAGATTCTCAGGCCCCTTCCCTGGAGAATGTTTCAGGTGGGCTGTGGGTAAATCTGTCTTTTTAACAAATTTACCAGATGGATTCTTATCAGGCAAAACTTAGTAAAGGTTAGCTAGATAATACTTTAACATGTACATAGAAGGCTATGGACTAGTCATACTGGTAATTAGAGAAGGGATTGTGCTGTTTAATGTGCTGCCTTTGTTTCCACGAAGATTCTTCCCTATAGAAGGACAGCTAAAAGGGCTGACATTATCCAGACAGTTTTCTCTAAGGACAAGGGGACTGATTTTTATTTCATCTGGCCCATGAATATAGAGTATCTGATTTATTAATTTTTTAGAAATAATCATATAACTATTAACTTCTTTAGGTAACATATCACCTTTGGAAATATAAAACTGTGTGAAGAAGGGATATCTCTCTAAAGGGGTTAGGTTAATTTATCATTGCAAAAAAGCCCATCTGTTAAAGGCACTGGGTAAAGGACTTTGCATTTGTACTTAACTCTTCAGGAGGCATTTGAAGGAACGGTTCAAAAGAACTACCCTATGAGGTACATATTGTGATCCTCATCTAGAATTGAGCAAACTGAGGCTTAAGGAAGCCAAAGGATGAGCCCAAGGTCACAGAGTTGGTGAAAGCCAGAATTGGACTCCATATAGCTCTCATTCCAGTCTATATATATGGTGGCCAAATCTTTAAAAGAATTGGAATTTTGCACCATAATCTCTCATGGTGGGGTGTGTGTGTGTGTGTGTGTCCGTGTCCGTGCATGCACATTCATATACCCGTGTGCATTTATGCCCTTCTCGGTGTTTTTTTCCCTCCTTCTGTGTCTACTTCTTGATCCATCCAGCACTCTTCAAGTGTCAAAACCAAGAAGTTTATTTTTATTTGTTTTTATTTGTTATATATTTAGATGTTATATATGTTATTAATTTGTAGTTGATAATGCCGATAATAGACTTGTATTTCTTTTAAGTCACATTGTCATTTTTTTGCCTTTTTACTTATGAATTTATGACCCTAGATGATAAAATTCTATCCTACTCAGGATCTTGGTACTCATTAGGGCTAATTATTCAAATAAAAGCAACCCTAAAAAAAATACTATAACTTGTGGTTTTTTAAGATGACCAGAGCATGGCAGTGGACAGATTATCAGTCAACAGCTATTAATTTAGTACTTACTGGTTGCTTAAAGCTGCTAAGTACTGTGGAGGATACAAGGAATAGGGTCTACGATTACCCTTACAAAGTTGTGCGAGGGGCGGGGAGGCCTCCTTACTCCTCGGTGGGAGCAGAGCTCACAATGTGGAAGTGAGCGTGGTGAGCGAAGGGAAAACCAGTAGGCGAGTGGCAGGAGTCCCTTCTGCAGCTGCTGTTTGGTCACAGCAGGTAAACTCGGCCCACTTCGTGTGTGGGTAGGGACCTGAAAAAAGGGAAAGAAGCCACTTCAGTCTTTCAATATTCTGGCTGGCCATACTGTGGAAAGTGGCCGGGAGAACGACGCCGCGTCTGCATCTGGCTGGCTGGTGGAAGGAAACTTCTCACTCATTCTTCTGGGTCCATAGAGCTCTTTGACTCTCTCCATGCTGTGCAGAAACCCCGCAGGGAATTTGTGCAAGGTGTTGGGGCTGCAGGTGAGAGTGGAAGGTGCCGAGTGACTGGGACACAGGGTTATTTCTTGGGGTCACAGAAGGTGACACTGCTCCTGCCGTTCTCCTCCGCCTTCTTCTGCGGCAGGGCATCTGTAGCAACAGAGACCTGGAAGGGTCTGTCTAGTTTAAGACCAGTGAAGTCGTTTCCTTTCTACTCTCTTCTTTCTCTGTGTTCATGTTTTGAGGGGACCTCCCCTTCCAGTTGAGCAGCCGTTGTCTCTGATTCAGTTCCCTTACTGTGGTTGTTGCTTCCCTGGATGAAATGCCATAACACATCCGACCCTCCTTCGCCTCTTCCCCAGCTTCTCCCCTGCCTGGGCTAGAGACTGAATGATGTGTTTTTCTCACTCTTGTGCATGCCTCATAGCCGGCCATTTGTGAGCCAGCTGTTGTGGGGACAGCAGCTGCAGGGCAAGGAAACTGAATGCCAGGCTCTTTCTTAAGGGGAGAATTCGAGCTGCTCCCTAACTTAGCACCGGAGGTACCATTGGAGCACCCCACTGGCCCTCCTTGTCAATGGGGCCATGCAGCTGGGACACCAGTAATATGAAACTCAACCAAGCTCTGGTAGTTCTTTATTGAGACGTTTGAATATCACCAGTGTTAAAACAGAGCATGCACACCTTGGATCCTTGCTGTCCTGAGTGCAAGCCGTGAGCAGTGTAGTAAAACCCAGGGGTCCATGCGGCTTTGTTTCAAAGCCTCCTGTTACTACTTTTTAGTAGTGGGAGTTAATGTTCTGTTATACTAATTCAATATATTGTTAAGACAGTGCACTGTTATTTTCTGTCTAACAACAAACGTCTTAATTATTTGCTTTATATATCTGAAGAAAATTCTGTTTAAGCACAGATGTTACGTTATTTGGGATACTTTTAGAATGAATGAAACTTATTTATTGTAAAGCCAATTACAGTTGACTCTTGAATAACATGGGTTTGAACAGTGTGGGTCCACTTATGCAGAGATTTCTTCCAATAAATACAGGACGGTTCTGTATCTGCTCATGATTTTCTTGACATTTTCTTTTCTCTTGCTTTATTATAAGAATACAGTGTGTAATACATATAACATATAAAATATGCATTAATTGACCTGTTTATGTTGTTGGTAAGGCTTCTGGTCAACAGTAGGCTATGGTAGTTAAGTTTTTGGGGAGTCAAAAAAATTATATGTGAATTTTTGAGTATATGTGGGGGTCAGCACCCCTAACCTCCACATTGTTTAAAACTGAACTATTTCAATCAGTATATTGTATCTTAAAAAATGTATTTGTTCTCCTGCATCAATGAAGATAAAGTAGGGTGAACTTCAGTTGAAGGTTTTGACTTGAGGAAGGCAGAGGAAGTAAAAAATATATTGACAAAAATATATATATACATAAATTTTTTTGGTTGGGTCTTTTGCTAATAAATGTTTAATGTCCTTAGGTGGTTTGAGACCTAGTACTTCAAATTTGGTCATTTTTGCTTTAAGATATAGTGGTTTCCTAGAGTCTTTTTATATTAACTTTCTCAAAGGGTACAAAGGGGGAAGTGAAAGGGAGTTCCTTATGATTTGACTTCCCACTTAGCGTGAAGTTTAAAAAGGATGTTACATGAAGAGCAGGAAGGACACGATCAGCTGCCATCTGATGGTATTTCTCCATAGCATTGTATAGTTGCAGGGAAAAAGAAAGTTTAGAAGTTGGCTTTAGGAGTTGAGATAATTGTGTTGGATTGGGGTGTATATATTTTAAAGAGCCAATTATTGTCCTTGGCTGAGCTGTCATTTCAGTGTCCTCAGGGGCTGATTGCTGGCAGTTCTGTTATAGAATAAAGACTACATGTAGGTATATTGTGTGTCATCATTTGGATAGATGTTTGATTTCAGATCCAAGCAAATGAGGCCCAAGAGACCCACCTTAAAAGTGATTTAATGTTTTATTTATAATACACACACATTTAAAGACAAATCAATCCTTAGCCCACTGGAATGCTAATAGGTGAAAGCTGCTTGAAATAGGAATTTATGTTTACATTTAAATATGTGAACTGTAAACTGTTCCATTTCGGACTCTGGAATATGTTTTATGGCTTAATTAACCTTTTTTTCCCCCCTCCTCCTGTAGAACTGGCTAGATCCTGCAAAAGAAATAAAGAGACAACTGCGAAGTGAGTATTTAAAATAATCATACTTTTTTTTTTTTTGTATTTCAAATCTTTAATTAAACTCATTTATCTGAAACATGTTTACACACAGGATAGAGGATTTCAAGTAACTTATGGTAGAGTCCACTGTCCATTTAAAAATACGCTTCTTTCTTCCACAAAAACTCTGTGTTGAAAGGCAAAAAAAATTTTCTTTTATACTACATAAAAGCTAGATGCAAACTTCTGATGTATATTTACTTCACTGTCAACTCTGATGCTGAAGCTGGGAGGCAGAGATGTCCATAGTTCGGTTAAATGATGCAAATAATAAGCTTCCGTTTCTCTGAGATATAAATTAGAAGCCTTCATTCACTGTCTATCACAGTAGTACCAGACTTGATTGACTCTCAAATCCGGTCACTTCTTCTTCTTTCCTTTCCCTTTTTTACTTCTCTCTCCTTGCTGAAAACTTTGGTCACCACCTCCTGTTTTTTGTGTCCTTGTTTTTAGTTTGGGTATCATTTCTGCTACATACAACATTACTGACTTACGTGATGGGAACTGTATGAGACAGAGGCTGCCATCTTCCTGTTTGAGCTGGACCCGGACTCTGCCCCTGTACTGAACATCACGGTTCCACTCTCTAGAGTACATTTTATTTTTCTCAAGGAATACATTAAGTCCAACTGCTGAGCACACATCTTGAATCTCAGTAGCTGTAGGATTTTCAACAGCCTTACTTATGGGGATTTGCCTCCCCTCCGCGATGGTCTTCTTGTTATTTAAATAAGCAGGATAGATACAAATGAACCTGTCCTGATCGTCCGGGACCAAGTGGGCGGCACAAGCCATCTTCACCCAGGCCCACACAGAGCCCACCCAAGACCTCCCGGGGAACGACCGGCCAGAATTTGGTTCTGAGATTTCATGAACGGCTCCGGCTTCCAGCCAATAATCATACTTCTAAGTTCATCTTTACATCTATTTCTGTCTTTAATAAAATTCATAGGAATGTAGACTAGAATACTAGTGATAGAGTGCATTTATATCGTAAAGGAAGCTAAGAATACTAACATTATTTTTGTAGAGTCCTGACTTTATTTCATACATGGCTTAGCGACTCTTCTGGCCAAGAGGTTCTAGACTTCTAGTCCTAGATATTCTGTCACAGTGTCCACCACAAAGAAGGACATCTGACCTTCCCCCTGGGGGAAAGAATGAGGAGCTGCTTTTCTGTAACTTTCACTGTTGATGTAAGTTTTACTCCAGACAACCAGTTACGATGGCTTTGTCTACTTTGTTTTGGAAGCGTGTAATTGGTTTAATTAATAGGCTTGTCTCTGGCTCCAGAGGCATAGATACACTGCTCCTCGGCATCCTGGAGTGCAGACTAGGGCAGAAAAGCCTGGAGAGCCATCTCTTCAGTCCTCTGTGATGGTCATCTTCCCTCCTCCTTTGTTCCACTGTCCAAGGCCGCTCTGTGTGCTCTTTGCATCTGGGTTTCTAGTCCATTCTGCCGCATTTCCCATTTGCTCTCATGGTAGACTCCCGAAGTGACTTGAGCTGTGTCCCCTCACCAGCTACAGCTCCTGCAGTGGTTCTGCCTCTGCAGGTGGCCTTGCCTGTGGCCAGCTTTAGGATATCTGTGCCAGGAAATGTCATCGCCGCAGAAAACCCTCTGCTAGGTTTCTCGATACTTAAGTTACTGTAGGGTGGGTGAATGACCAAAGCAGAAAAGGGAGAGAGCCATGAAGAGCTGAAATTTTTAGACAGGAGAACACAGTTGTCACCAGCCCTTCCAGACTCCCAGACCTGTCCAGGGAGAAACCATTGCCCTGAGTGCTGGCCTGCGCAACACCCTTTGTACGGTTGGTTTCATCCCCTACTTGTTTATTATTCCTGACGTCAACGCGCTGGAACGAATCTGTACGCTTCCCTTCTGTCACTTACTGTCTACTTTCTGTCTCGTGTTAGGTTCTCTGCAGTTGTTTTCTTCATTTCCTTTTCTTTCTCCCTGAAGTCATTCATCTTTGTGGTAGTTTCCTATCATTTCTTCTCTGCTCCCTTTTAAAATTCTGAGCATATACTTTATTTTCCCATTTCTTCTCCTTGTAGACTCTTCTTTTCCTTTTTTTAAGAAAATATCTTTGAATAGAATGACCTTCCTGATTCGCCCAGGACAGGGGTTTCTCGGGATGTAGCACTTTTAGTGCTGAAACTCCAACAATCCCAAGCAGACTGGGATGGTTGGCCACCCTGACTATTATTACCCCTTCTTTCCAGCAGCCCCTCTCCCCTCCACGTCCCCCCTGCATTTATTATCTTGGTGTTTCATCTATTTATGCTTGGTTCATAATGGAAAAGGGAAAAAAAGAAAAGGAGTAATTAGACTTGCAAGTGTTATGCTGACATTATGGAAGAAACTGTACAGGAGAGCCTTGGAATGTTTCCTTTTGTCTTTTGTACAGTTGTTCTATGCTCTGCAGAGTACGTGAATTCAAAAAGGTACGGATGCCTGGTTCTTTCACTTTGTCTGAAACCAGACCTGCCAAGTGACTCACACCATAGAGAGAACAGGATAACCTCTGAAACGTGATCGATGTTCCGTTGACTTGTTTCCTATGGTCTTGTTTTGGTGTTTGATAATGTTTGTGTGTCACTCATTTGAGAGTCATGGAGATTCCTAATTTTTGGAAGGCAAGACTCTTGCTGGTTATGAATCACAGTCTTGTGTTTTGATTATTTGTGAAGTTTTTTTAGAGTTATTTCAAGACTTTTGCCCTTGTGGTTTGGCAAGAGGAACAACAGTAACAAATAGGATTTGGCTTTTTGGACAACTGGAGCTAGTTCTCTAAATGGAATCCTGTGCTGTCCTGATGGGGAAATTGGCTGAGGAGACGAAGTTTTAGATACTGCCTTTACCTCTTCCTTTCTGCTCGTGTTAAAATGGACCAAAGAACTGCTAGTTTTATCCTCACCCAGCTACTGCTATACTTTGTTACTTTTCAGTTAATAGGCACTTAGCAAAGGTAAATGTTAATCTTTTTTCACTTACTTTTGAAAACTGACAGCCTCTTAGTTCCTGTTTAAAATTTGCCTGAAAATCTTCCTCCGATGGATGAGAATAAGACCTGCATGGGATTACTATATAAATGGTCCATAGCTAGATGGACTATTCATATATCGCTAGGAAATTTTGTGGTAATATTTAATTCACAGTTAGCATTATTAGTGCTAAAAATGTAAGTGTTCTATTAGAAACTTATCCCTGCATTCCTATCCAGGCAAGCATTTGCTCATGGTAATACCTGGAAAACAGAAAATAAGGATCCATTAAGAACTGATAATCCTGTGTTGACTTTGCTTCATTATGGTCTAGCAGTCACCTTGAAGAGCTCATATTCCCACCCAGCATGTGCTATAGGATGAGGAAGTCTAGCTCTTCAGGAAAGTCCTGTATCCCATTATGGTATTTTAAATGTGTGACGCAGGACGGAAATGCAGGATTGGCTTTATTAGTGGAATAGTGATGTACCGAACCTAAATGCAATACAAGTGCGTGTGCGTTCCCAGTAGCCATTCAACGAGTATTTGTTGACTTTTGAGTGAGAAAAGTGTTAATGTACTGATGGTGAACAAAGAACAAAATGACACGTTGGAAAAGAGATTGGGATTCAGTAAAATTTTCTTCAAGTCCACAAAGTAAAGCAACCACGAGGCCTTCAAATATGGATAGAATGAAATAACATGCACACATTTTTGTTGATATTTGGAAATACTATAAACTTTGACCACAACCCTAAGTTCTGGCCAGTGGAATTATTTGGATTCCTTTAAGAAAATAATACCTGCCCTCTGCCCAGAGTTGTGTTTTTCTTTCTTTTCTTATTTTTAAAGCCATCCAAAGCATGACATATCAAACACTAATTAAATGTTAATGTACAGGGAGCAATGTTGTACTTTTTATAATTCGTTTCTGACATGGTTGTTTGCTATATTCATTCTTTGTGGCACAGGACGGCCAAGCATATGTTACATATGATGAGTATACTTACACCCACTCCATAAAAACCTGGGAATAATTCTATTGTCTTAAAGTTTTGTGATGTTTTACTATTCTTTCCCTTCTATGGGATTTCTTTTAACACTTTCTTCAGATAGTCCATTAATCATTTCTTGAATGGCTGTAGTGATCAGTTATTACCTCCCTTCTCCCAACAATGTACAAATCTTAAAATACTTTTTTTTTTTTTAAAACAGTAGGGAATATTTGGCATGTAGAGATAATGTGGTTAAAACAAATCTTAAAACGATTACATGGAAGTTATAGTAAAATTTTTGCATACTATATCACCATACAAAACATTTGAAGTATTAGTAAATGTTTGTAAAAAAGTGAATATGGGGCCCCTGGGTGGGGCAGTCTGTTAAGCGTCCAACTCTTGATTTCAGCTCAGGTTATGATCTCAGGGTCGTGAGATCGAGCCCCACATTGAGCTCCGCACTCAGTGAGGAGTCTCCTGGAGGCTTTCTCTGTCTTGCCCCCTCCCCGCTCACATGTGCGCGCTCTCTCTCTCAAATAAATAAATCTTTTAAAAACAAAAGTGAATCTGTTCTCTAATAGTTGGGTCATTTATGTAATTTTTATTTTTCACTGTTTTTGTAAATAGTTTTCTTAAAACTAAAAAATGAAATTCTCCAAACTGATTTACAGTGGGACTAGTATGTACTGTTTGAACATTAACCTTTAATTTTTATCAAAATAAGTAGTCATTCTGTTGGTTGGATAAATACCCATATTTAATAATTACAGATCTTCCTTGGCTGTTCACCTTTAATGTGAAGTTTTATCCTCCTGATCCTTCTCAATTGACTGAAGATCTCACCAGGTAATTTATACTTATATTTTAAAATACAGCTCTTATATATTTCTGAGCCCTGGGAGAAGAATGGTAATTTCAGGATTAAAACCAAAATATTTTTTCATAAGTTGAGTTCTAGAAATTTCCTTGGAGATGAGTGTACTTGGAAATACTTGGAAATATTGCCGGTTTTAAAAATTTTATTCACTATTTACAGTTGAGTAATGGAACATTAAAAAAAAATATCGCTGGCAACTTTGTTTCTTATGTTGTTAGACTTTTAAAAATCATTGATATTTAATATTTCAGGTTAATACTAAGATGGTTTTCATTATATAACCCTTGTGTAGCTGTGTACTAGTCTCATATCAATCACAAAAGTGATAGAAGGGTACAAAAAGGAAATTATTTTAAAAAGCCAATTTTGGGGGGGGTCCCCTACCTCAAAGGGGAAAGAAAACTAATAAGGTAGGCTTTCTTAATAGCTATTTCATTTCCATCTCCTTTGAGATTGTCTGGGCTATACAAACAGATGCCCAAGTTGTAAATAAAAGATTCAGTTGTGGAGCAAGAGAGCATTTACTGATTCTGAGAAGGACTGAGTATTTGAATAGTAACCAAGGAACATTTGAATCCACAAGAGCCTTGACATCTTAGCCCTATTCAGCTTGGTTACCAGCGATAGGACTTATTAGCTTTGGTAAGAATAGGTGCATAGATTACATGGCCAAGGAAAACTGTGTTCAGAATACCCTTTAGAAAACCACAGGGTCTGACTGAAAAAGTCTGCTTTTTTGATTCCTGTGGTTCCTGTGCCCCTGATGCTTTCTGCTAGTTCAGTTTTGTTGTCAGACATCAGGTCCTGTCAGTGCTTAAGAGTGCATGATACCCATGTGAAAGAGGAATAACGGAGATTCCTTTCCAAGACTGGATAAATGACAAGCCTCCCTACCCCCCATTGCTACTTGTTGCTAGATAGGGGTTTTCTGATACTAAGTAAGTTGTGATCGAATTAGCTTCAGCTAGTAAATAATAAACCGTAGCTTTCGTAACTGCACAGTGAGCTGCTTGGGAGCATAAAACTTAACAGGTGGATGTGCTCTGGATACAGAGCCTCACCACAGGAATGCCGTTGAGTGCTGCAGTTGGGGCTTTGTGACCCAGCGCCCTCTCTGTACATATACTTCTTCTTGCAGTAATTTGTTTGGGGGATGGTAATCCTCAGCATCAGTAAGTGCTTTGGATTTTCTTTGAAATGGGGCTTGAGCAGTCTCGCTGTGTGTGGTGAGAGAAATGAGATAGTTTGGTGAGCTACTAACCAAAAGGCTCGGCAGGCAGCCTGAGACCAGCCACCTGCCTGGTAGCCCAAATGTCATGACTGAAATCTTTCCCATGACTTGAGTGAAAATTTAGAAGCTGAGGTGGCTTTTGAGGAGTCTAGGAACACTGTTCAGAATAATGTTTGAAGGATACTGGGTCCTGCTCTGTGAAGAAGCAGCAGCAGCTGGGAGTTTTGGGGCCTTTGACTTCATCTTTGAAAACAGGAGAGGACCAATGTGAAAAGTTGAGACTATTATCTAAAAAGGAGCAACGAGATCTTAGAAATAGATGGAATCTTTGTGTTGAGGTCTTCAAAGTGCCATAAAATATGGAGAACTAGCACTGTTCTTGATTAGACTTCGAGAATCGAAGGATACCCTGGAAGCCTAGTTTAAAATTGAGTTTTCTAGAGTTAATGCAGTTGTGCTTGTGGTGTTTCGGGGATCAGGGGAATGTAATCCTCCTTAGAAAGAGAGCTCCTGCATGCAGTGCATAAAAATCTTCAGACTGTAGCGACAGCGAGGGGACTTCCATTCCCTCAGAAGACTGTTGAGCACTTGGCAGCGTGGCAAGTACTTTGCTAACTGCGGCACTAGGCCGACAATACACCGGGTCTCTGTCCCGCCTGACAGCGGACTTGGTGGTAATCTGGGTATAACTGGACTGGGTGGTGGCTGACCGCACGTGCCGGGTTGTGCTGTCCGACCCCACGGCCATGGGGCTGGCCCAGCAGCAGCACTCCAGTTGGAACGTTGTGGGACAGAGTGCAGGAGTGGGACCGGGCCGTGGACGCCAGCCGGGCAACAAAAGAAGGTGGCCAACGGCTCATAGGAATGACACTCTGTAAAAGACCTCCAAGAACATGGGGCCATTTAGTTTGGAGGGGTCGATGGTAATCTTATTAGCAAGTAGTTAAATTTGAGAGTAGAACTCAGGTTTTAAGATGTCAGCAAAGGAGTTGGTACTGCCCCCCCAATCCTCATAGAATATAAATAACATGGTTCTGTGTGTCATTTAGTGGAAAATAGAATGTTTTATAACTAACTGTGTAGTAAAACCACTTGGAACATTAAATAATAACTACTCTTCTAACTTAACATTATTATAAAGATTATTATTATTATGGCTATTAGGTATTGATTCCTAGGTAACACGTGGTGTGTTTTATTTATATTATCTAATTTTTATCCTCACCTTCAAAGGGGGGTAGAATTCTCATTTTACAGGTGGGGAATTAGCCTCAGGCAAGTGAATGAACTCGCTCCAGGTCGGGCAGCATCAGCTGTGCCTGGCCCTGAAGCTCATGCCTTTTCTATTCTAAACTGAACTAGTTGCCACTTTAGCTGGAGTAAACGGGCAAGTAAGGGCTTTATAGTAAAGACTGACTTATAATTGTTCAGTTTTCTTTTCCAGGAAAAGAGATTAGTATTAAATGGCTAGGAAGGATAAAGGGTGGGTGACCTTAGCTCTTCAGGCGAATGCTTAAGAACTGCAGGTGTTGTTAAAATTTCCTTTGTCTTTACAACTTTTGAGGGACGTGCAAAGTTTGATTACAGTTTTAAATCAAAGGAGAACAGTCTGAGTGATTAGAATTTTTACCTTCAGTCACAAAACTCTTTATTATAATAATAATACGCTGTGACCAGAATAGCAGTTCAGATTTCCCCTTCTGTTATGGAGCCCATTAGACTCACTTTCTGTAAATAAGCCACAGGTTAGGAGCCCCAGGAGCTGGGTGGACTTCTTATTAGAGAAGACCGTTTTTGCTATGGATGTAAAGAGTTGCCTATATTGTCTGTTTGTTTTCAAAGGAATATGAAAACTCAAGGATTACTAGTGCTACCGTCCTAACTGATGTTCTTCTCCCCCTTGCTCCCCCTTGCTCCTCACAGATACTTCTTGTGCCTTCAGCTCCGGCAGGACATTGCCTCTGGCCGCCTGCCTTGCTCTTTTGTGACGCACGCCCTCCTGGGATCTTATACTCTGCAGGCTGAGCTTGGGGACTATGATCCAGAAGAACATGGCAATAGTGACCTCAGTGACTTCCAGTTTGCCCCCACACAGACCAAGGAGCTGGAAGAGAAGGTGGCAGAACTGCATAAAACCCACAGGTGTGGTGACTCGCTTCCCGGAGAGAGAATAGCCATGGGAGACTTAACCAGCTTCCCTTCTAACGCTTGCTAGACGTTTGAGCACAGTGTACGGGATTATCCAGCTTTTCCTTCTGGAACCTCACTTAGTTCTAATCCAGACAACCTGTAGCCCTTGTGATATCCTTTCATTGTGTTCATGACTCTCCTGTGAAGAACAGTGCTCATGATCCCCAGTGTTTTCATTTATTGGAAAGTTACTTCTCCCTTAGGACATCTCCTTCCGCCTCCTCCCAAACCTGTCCCCTAACACACACACACAGACACACATACGCGCGCGCGCGCACGCGTGTGTGTGTGCGTGCAGCAGACATACCCATGTCCTTGTTTGGCATTTACTATGTATTCTGCCTTTTGTTTTTATTATCCTATTTGCTAAAGCTGGAGAGATAGTGAGCGTTTGGATCAGAAATGTGGGTGGCGATGAACCTGGGAGCAGTAAAGTGTTTTCTCTATCCACAAAAGATGACCTTTGCTTTAGCAGCTAGGCTTTACTTACTTACTTAATACCGTAGTAAATATACCGTATTACATTTCAAGAACTTTTATATCTTTGTGAAAATAAATGTGATTTTTAGCACAAGTTTAAAAAACTCTCACTACAAAATCATAGTTTGTCCCATATTGCAGGGTTGAAATTATGTAAAAATTTGACAAAAATGTTTGGAAAGGAACTTTCAGAGATTAGAAAATTTTTTTTAAAGATTTTATTTATTTATTTGACAGAGAGAGACAGCGAGAGAGGGAACACAAGCAGGGGGAGTGGGAGAGGGAGAAGCAGGCTTCCCGCAGAGCAGGGAGCCCGATGCGGGGCTCGATCCCAGGACCCTAGGATCATGACCTGAGCTGAAGGCACACGCTTAACGACTGAGCCATCCAGGCGCCCCCAGAGATTAGAAATTTTTAAACAGACCGCATTCATTGACTTTTCTGTAAAAAAAAAAAAAGGGGGGGGTGGGGCAGTATTTCTTATATTATTAACTTTATTCCAATTCTACTCAATAGGTATTTACTGTATAATTTGAATTTGAAATAGCAGGTCCTGAAATGCCACGGTGAATATGGAGTCCTGCTCTGTGGGAGCCGAAAATTTGTGGAGTTGTGACTAGAGACAGGGATGGAAATAATTTTAGTATGGGCAGGATGTGATCTGTGTTAACTACCATAGGTGTAAAATCAAATACAAGTACTTGTGGTCTGTATTATGATCAATCCTGGTGAAATAAAATGAAGGAGTAGGAAGCAAGAATTTGCCTTTTTCAGAAAGATGAGATCACTTTTTTACTCTCAGGTAATTCATGTTACACCCATTTCCCCAGTGGGGAAAAAACCTGAAAATAATTTTCTAAGATAATCTAAATCTCTACCCTTACCCTTTTTATCTTATGAGGAAAAATGCCTAAGGTTCAGAGGTGAGCCTTCTCACCCATTTCCTGCTTGTCTGCAGATTTTGCAGGGTTACTGTCTCCAGCCTGGACGCTCTGAGCTCATATGCTCCATTCCCGTTTTGGCCACGTTTGCCTTGCACCTGCCAATGAGATAATATTGTTTCTTTTGATTCTCAGGGGCTTATCTCCAGCACAAGCTGATTCTCAGTTCTTGGAAAATGCAAAGAGGCTCTCCATGTACGGTGTTGACCTACATCATGCCAAGGTACTGTCCATGTCCTGGGAAGTGGCATCTTTCCCAACTGTTGACAGAAGTTCTGAGAGGACTCCAGTTTCAGAGTGGCCTAGCTCACTTTTAGGAAAAAAGCTCTTCGCCCTCACCCAAGGGTGTCTGTAATATTTCTTCTGTGACTAATGGTGGGGTTTATGCTTGTGGGAAGGACCATTGATTCTCGCCCTACTTCTTTTCTCAGTCTTTTCAGTTAATACTCTTTCATACGTACTTGTTGTAAGACCCCCCTTGTCAGCCATCTTTACCCCTTGCCCTGGCTTATTCTGCATCCCAGCTTTTGCTGTGTCAAGTGCTGCCTCTCTCCCAGCCCCCTCTCCCACCTTGGTCATGGGAGAAAAGAGCAGTTCCTAGCAACCATGAAAGGGCAAAAGCAGTATGGATGTAACCATTTTTGAAAAAAACTTGGGCCTGTAGAGGAGCCTGAGGGTCGGGCTCTTCTCCGCAGGTCTGTTTTGGTACTTCTTGTAAGATGGAGGAGACTGGCCCGGGCTCCCGGGGATGCAGCACCTGCAGCCTTATTTGAGAGGTGGGGGGAGGATGGAATGATGGGCTAGGTGATAGGAGAAAGGGATTGAGTTGGGAAGATGCCACTAATAAGCATCACGTGCTTCATGACCCTAGTCCAGATGATCACAGAGCTCAGAGAGCCCAGGAGGAGAGCAGGAGGTAAGGTGAAAGATGAATTTGGTTCTGAAAAATGTGCTTTAAAAGAGCCTGCTAATTCCTACATGTAGCCTAGGAATCTCTGACTGTGTGATTGGAGAAATCTCTTGGAAAGCCTCCCACCCGAAGATCTCTTCCCTCCCTAGGCCTCAGATTAATCATTCCTGCTCTTGTGTTGATAGTACTTCATGTTTGCAAAGCACTTTTTTTCTCCAGTGGCTTCCTTTATTCTTTAACTGTTTTTCCTGGTTATAAAAGTAAATAGGTGTACATTACAGAAAATAGAAGCAAACAAGGGGAAAAAAAGAAAAACCACTGAAATCTCTTTATGCAGAAATAAACACTATTGCTATTTTGAAACATTTTCTTGTTTTCTTTAAAAAAACAAAAAACAAAACCATCTCTGAGCACTTGAACTCTGAGGCATTTTTTCAATAGGATCATACTACAGGTATCATTTTGTGAGGGGTTTGTTTTTTGTTGGTTGGTTGTTTTTTGCTTGCTCTGTTAAAAGATTTTTCCATGTCAGTAAATAGTCTCTGGCATCATCATTTTTAACTGCTAGGTGCTAGATGCCTTTAATTCTTAAAAGTCCTTCCACTTACACCACCTCATTTGAGATTTGAGTGTTTTTTTTTATTTACAACTGCATAAGACAGAGGGCAGAGAATGACTTGCTTAAGCCACATATTGTTAAGCATTCCCATATTTGCCTGATACCTTCTGATAAATTGTAGGAGGTGAAATGGGGCTTCCTACCACTTGTGTGTATTCCAGCTCCTTTCTCTCTGTGATGGAGACAGGCGGGGTCAGCCGAGAGACCCAGACAGGGGGAGGCAGGAGAGAACAGGTTTGGGACCAAAAAGCCCATGGGTCTCTCCTCTCCTTAAACCCCGTTACTCTGGCCACGTATAAATTTTTTCATTTGTTGATCACTAGTTAAAAACCAGTTCTTAGATGGCAATAACTTGGCAAGATTTCACGATTCTTGTTTTTTAAGGTGTACCTTAGAAAAGCCAAAAAAAGTTGTGGGCTCTATTTCAGTATAATTTCCATTTTTCCTGTGGGGTTAGGACAGATTGCTTTTTTAACAAGTTCAGAGTAACATTCATTTATTCATTCTGTTTGTCATCTGATAGGCTCATAATATTTGATGAAGAAGATACTTGTAGCTTGTTGAGAAGAAAGTCTGTAGCAATTTAAAAGAACTTTGGGTGGAGTTTGAAGTTTGTGCCTTCATACATCTTTCATTGTCTTGATTATATTTAAATAAAAAAAATTTTTATTAAAAGTTCTTAATGGCACATTCCCATTAGGACAGGCATAAGAGTGTTGGATGGAAGGACTCTTGACACGCAGGTACCGGGAAACCACGAGCCTGGGGTACCTCTGGGCTCATACCAGTAGCCCTCCCAGTTCTTCCGAAGGGGTGAGGGCAGAGAGTGGTTGCCAGAACCCAGAAGGAGAGCTCCGTGTGTGGGGAGGATGGTCTTCAGAGGAACTGCAGTTGTCACAGGGACATGTCCCTGACCTCCCTTCTCTCTCTCCTCTCTCTTATCTGTGAGAACTTTCCATGGGCTGAGCCCATTCAGAGCTCAGAGGGCCTGGGATCCTACTGCTACGCATAGGTGACAGCTCCCTGAGGTGTTCCTTTTTTATTAGTTTATTTTTCTGACTTGGTTGCTGAATGATTGCCAGAAGTCAAATATGGAGGACTAAGGCATGCTTTTTTCCCTTTTGCTTGTTACTCTTTTATCTGTAATTCGTATTCACACAAATACTGATAATTCTGAAGCACTACATGGAACAATGGAAAATGAACCGATTTACTGGGTTCCAGATTGTGTTTATTCCTAAGTCCGATAAAATAGCTTGTGTCCTGTCTGAAGATTGCTTCAGACTAGAGATGACTTTGTTCAATGTTTCAAGTCAGTGTTGCCTCCCTACTTGTGGTGAGAACATGCTGTCTTGGGCAGTTTTCTGGCCTCCTCCCTGTGGCCATGGCCAGTGATGTTTTTGGCAAACGCATCATTTGTGGCTGGTGCCAAGTTGCTTGGGCACCTGTGCCTGATCTATCCCAGCTTTTTTCTCTGTTCCTAGAGAGAATTGGGGCTGCCAGATATGGGTGAATAAAGCACCTTATAAATGAGCTTTTTAAACCTGCTTGGATTGTCCAATGTAATTTTATGTGTAAATATGAATTATTCAGGTACGGCAGCAGAGAAAGCAATTGACATGCGTTACTTAGTACTGTCCTTTTATTTTTAAAAGAGTAACCTGATTTGTATTAGATGATTCAGTAACAAGGCTGTCAAAATGTTACACTTCCATTGAATTTGAGACTTAGGTTAAATGTGGTGTTTGTTTCAGCAGGCTCAGTAAGAATTTCTGCCATGTTGGAAATGATTTCTGAAAATGTGGATCTCTCTGAATAATAATCTTCAATTTTACATATCTTGAATGAAATCCAGTTCTTCCCTTAAAAGTTAAACAATGACCTGTGTATTTTGAGTGTCGTGCTATTGCATCCTCAATATTACTTGCAATGTGAGGAGACGCTATTTCACTTTTATCTGTAAATTTATTTGATTTTTAAAAATCATTCAGGCTTGTGATTATTCTAGATTGTCATCTATTCCAAGTTAAAATGCTGGGAGTGAAAACCATTTGAATAAATTCAAGACTAGTCTGCAGTCCGTTGAAATATGCCAGCCAAAGCAATGCTATAATGCAGACTGGAGGTCAGCCCTCTGAGTTATTGAGGAGTGGCTCGGAAGAATTAAGAGATTTCAGCAGTCGGCCTCCAAGAGAAATTTTCTCTGAGGGATTGGTGTTTTGCTGAGTAGAGGCACAAATTTAACAGCTCTTAGCTAGCATAGCCCATCTGAAATAAATTTGCCTGAAGTAAAATGGCTGACCACACCTGAGGGTGGGCCGACAGACTGTCCCCAAGGGCTGGAATAGCCTCCAGGAAAACCCTGTCTCTTCAGAATGTCTACATTGAGTTCTGTTTCCCTTCTTCCCCATCAGCTCTTGCAGGCAGGCTTGGGAACATAGAAGTTACGCCTTTTGGAGAATATTGTATCCTGTGGACAGGTGGCTACACCTCTTTGACAAATCAGATTTGATCCCAGAAGATAATAGATTTAAGATGTTCTGTGTCCACTTGTGTACTGTCACTGAGATTTAAATACCAACCTGTAAAGTTGGTGTTCCTGGTCATGGTTTAAGGAGAGGGCGGGATAATGAGCTTCCTGACTTATGTAACTTTGACAGCTCTAACCATGGTCAAATGGCTTATGCTTGGCAGGACTCGGAAGGCGTGGACATCAAGCTGGGTGTGTGCGCTAACGGGCTCCTCATTTACAAAGACAGACTGAGAATCAATCGTTTTGCTTGGCCGAAAATCTTGAAAATTTCCTATAAGCGCAGTAACTTCTACATTAAAGTTAGGCCAGCAGAGGTAAGCAATGTCATGTGCACCTGGGCATATCTGAACAGCTTTGGTCAGTGTTCTTTATGGCCATGTGCTAACTGAATTTTTTCCCATTGAGTTTTAATAAAATGAACTATTCTTTATTCTTTCATGGCAAAAAAGGTCAGAGTTCTTAATGATAAACCTGCATGAAATTCCATGTTGCTAAAAAATAAATAAATAAGCAAGAGCCACCCATACCCTTTAGCAAAAAGGGAAAGTAGTAAGTGCCTGCCACATAGTTGGGGGGGCCATTATTTTGTTGTTGTCGAAACAACTAAGTGATAGAGATCAATAGGAAGGTGGTAGAATGAGTTGTAGTGGACATGGGCTAGAGTCCATAGTTGTACTTGCTTTTCATAGAAACTAGTATTGCAGTCTACGAAAAATTCATTTTGTGTAATTACACTGGGTATACGAATGTCTCCTTTTTTTGAGAAGAATTAACTTCTTACAGAAACATCTGAATCCATGTTTGTCAGTAGCTTCTAATCAACTTCTAAGGAAATATGCTGATTTAGTTTATTGATTTATTCTAGCTCGAACAATTTGAGAGCACCATTGGATTCAAACTGCCAAACCATCGGGCAGCAAAAAGGCTATGGAAAGTGTGCGTGGAACATCATACTTTCTACAGGTAATTTTAATGCAACAGCTTAAAATTCATTAGAACAGCTATTGGTTACCTGTGTGTATTAAGAGGTGGTCATGGAGAGAAGGACAGATGCAGCCACGCCCTATTTTACGGTTTTTGCTCTCCTCCCTACCAGATCTCCTTGGCCGTGCCTTGTCCTCACTCAGAGCCGATCTGTGTCTACAGTGGTCCCAAACTCCACTGACTACAGCTACCTTTCCTACTGTCACCACTCTATTCAAACCTGGCTGTCATTTCTCCTGCCACCATCATTCATCACAGGCTTCATTTCGTTGTTCTTACCAGCTCCCTCCTGTTTAACTTCTTTGCCCAACCAGCCCAAACCCTGGGGGTCTGTCCCTTTGCTACTCTGTCAGGATGATCCAACCACGTGCCCTGTGTACACATCAGCCTGCCAGGCTGCTGGTCCTGGGTCAGTCCTGTGTCTCGACCTTATCACTTCTGCATCTGTGTTTGCAGACGCTGCCTTCAGCAGCAGCTCTCCTGGTATACACACTCTGGATTAGTGCTGTTACAGATATGTTATTTCCCGTATCGGCTGGATCCTCAGAGCTACCAGGCAGTCAAACCTTTTACTTCCTTTCCATTACAATATTCATGATCTTCCTGAGCCCCTAGGAACCTGGCCTCTCTGCTCAGATGCCCCCTTTGCGTGGGTCACAGATTCTAAAAGCTGTGGTCATGAGCATTCTCGGTTTCACATACCCTCTGTTTTCCTTCTTTTGCCCATAATTATGTAGCATTCCCCCCTCTTTTCTATTCATTCTTTCCCTCTATCCTGTCTCAAGGAAAAAACAATCATTCCCTATGGAGTTTTGATTCTTCATTTTATGCCTCACATAGGGTCATGCTTTGTACATTATGTACTCTCCAGTGAGTGCCTTTGACTTCTTTGGCCAATAAACACGTCCATGTCTTACTCCTGTAAAAACCAAAATAGACAAATAAGAAAACCAGAAGATCTCCTTAGACCCTCTAGCTATATTCAGCTTGGGTGCCATCTCCTAGGGCATATTTCTACATTACTCTTCTTACCTGGTCATTTTCCCTATTTCTTCAGTTCATATTACTGTGGTCTATATAGCTATGTGTCTGGATCCTCCATCTTGAAGCTTTTTGCCTTGGACTCTTGCTACTCCTGTCCCACCACACACTGGGTGTGTGACTGTGGGTAAATTACTCTGCCTTTCTGAGTCTCACTTTCGTCATCCGTGCGATGGTAATAATAATACCTACCTTATAGGGTTGCTTTGAAAAGTAAGTGAGAAAACACACAAAACAAATGTAGAACTATTTCTGGTATATAATAATGTTTCTCTTCACCATCAGTATCATCATTATTATTCGTCTGCTACCTCAGTATGCTATTTTTAAGGTGAATTATTAGCTGGTACAGGTGACTCTTTCAAGTTAAATTGACACATAATCTGTTTTCAAGACTGCTCTAATATACTCATTTTAGAGAAATGTAACTCCTAAAATATACTTGAATCCATCTGACATAGTTACACTGAGCATATAAATCTTTGAAAAGTTTGTAATTTCTCTTGAAGCCATGACAAATTTCTCCTCAAGACAACGTGAGCCTGCCTCAAATAAAGCTAGTAGATAACATTTATGAGTTAAATGACACAGATCAAGGCAGAACAGATAGCAGGCTTTCCTGTCAGGTAATGATAATAGAAACAATAATTATTTTAGAAATGACAGGTGCTACATTTGTTGAGCGTATATTGTTGTCAGAAACATAACCCCTTGCTTAACCTTGCACCGTCTCATTTATTGCTCACCCCCACTGAGCAAGTGGCTCAGAGCTGGGTGCCCATAGAGGGCACAGGGGCCAGGCGCCTGCGCAGAGCTGGGGATCTGGCTCTGTGATTCCAAAGCCCACACTGGTCACCTCTGTGTGGTCCTTCCTCTGGGATTCTTCTAGCAAGCGTTTCTGAAATGTCTGTTAGCCCTTCAAAGCCTTAGGTTGTTCCATTTTTGCTGACATGCCACGACTCCAATTTAAAAGTAGACCAGTTTGCTTCTGCAGACTTTTGAGATAATGGTTAACAAAAGGATTTTTAGATCTTTAAACCTTGTATAGCTTTTCTTACAAATGGTAGGAAGCAGTGTATCTAAAGCAAGGCATTCATAATTCATCTGCAGAGTGCTTTGAATCAAATCTGGATTTTGTTCTGTTTTTATCACAAAAGATGCAAAGGATTTCTTCAGAAAATTAAAATGGCTTTCAGATTGAAGCCATTAAAGACACAGATCTTTCTATTGATTGATAGCCACTCAGCCAGACTAATATTAGTGGAACAAGAACATAATAATAAAGCTGTTATTCTTCTTGGAGTGTTTGATAGGGCCTATCACCCTTCTAAGTGCTGTACATGGATCAATTCTTTTAATCTTTACAACATCATTGTAATCTTCACTTTACGTTTGGAAAAACTGTGAAACAGAGAAGTTAAGAGACGTGCCTGTGGTCTTATAGACAGTCATGGGTGGAGATGGACTTAAGAGCCAGGCCCTGCGGCTCACGGGGCCCACTGCGTACCCGCTGTGCTATACTTCCTGACCTTATTCACAGCGGATGTGCTTTAGTGGTGGTGGTGGTGGTGGCGGCATATAAATATAAACAAGATTAACACGAGGTTCCTGTAGGTTGGCATGAAACTGTCATTTAAACTTGGCATTGTAGATCCAGAGTAATTCCAAGTGAATTAGTCTCATCTGCTGCTTCATAGAGAGCTTTATTGTTGAATGTCTGATTGACTTTAGTAACTGAAATGTGGGTTTTTCTTAAAACGTTCTTTACTTTCCATAGGTAAAAACATTAATATTTTATTAAAATTCTCCCATTATAAGTCCTTACTGTGCTTCTTAAGCAGTAAAATATGTAAAAGTTGATTTCTTTTGTGCTGGTCCTTAGATCATCTTGCTCAGAACCATTAAAACTCTAGAGTGATTAGGTCCTTATTTATAGCTTTTAAATTCCCAAAAGTGAAATGATTGAGGTCTTGTAGTGATTTTGATGTTGTTTTTATGATGGTAGGGTCTCGGTTGGTAAATAAAAGTAATGTCAAGACGAAATAATTGTTCAGTGATCTTGAAACATTTTGTTGCTTAGCCTACATTTTTGTAGGAAATTTATTTGCACTACCGTTGACTTAAGCCACCAAAAATATTCTTTTAGAAAAAACTAATAAATGTCTGTGTTCAGTCCATTTTTGTTTTGGTATTTGCTTCTATTTAATTGCAACTTAATTGAGGATTTCTTTGTTGTCAGAAAATTAATCTGTAAGTTAATATTTTGTGTGTGTGTGTGCACTGGTGCCGTTTGGGCAAGGAAGTATTTTATCTCAAGTTGGAATAAAATAAAAATCCTCTAGTTAATGACTTTCCTAATCTTACATTGTGTTAGATAGATATACGCCTTTAAAATACTTGCTTTCTATTTCTTGGACTTATATTTTTAAAATATCTTTTACAAAATGCATAAGTGGATAATCTGATATGTATTTCAATGGCAACCAATCGTCTGTTACCTTAAAAACAAATTAGACTAAAGAAGTATGGTTGTATAGAACGCTCCTCACCTGGACTTAGATGTTTAACTGGTTATATACCCTAGTCTATATAAATGAGAGCTTACTTTCATAAATGGGGGGAAAAATAAAACCAACAACTTCATTTTACAAAGGGCTTTTTCTAGCAGCGGGATTGTTTTGTTTACTAAATTAAAGCTGAAATATTCAGCAGTAGTTCTCGCTGTGTATTGGAACTTCTAGAACTTAGACCCCAACTCCCCTTCTCTAAAATCCCGGCGTAAGGGATTTCAAAAGCTGTTCTTCAATGCTGTGACTATGTAATAGTCAGAAAGAGGATTCTGAAGAATGGATAGGTAGACATGTCTTTGGATTTTCTGGCTACGTAAATTCAAGTGCCCTCTAGGAAAAGGTGACCATGGGATTCTCTCTAGTGATCCAGCCTGTATTTATTGAGCACTTGCTCAATAATAACATATAATAATAACATATGGGACCTAGCACAGATCCATGTGAAGTTATATAAGATAAACTAATAACCAGAAAGTCAGAAAGCACTAATGGAGGTTTTCTTAATTTTGTTTAAAATTGTTTTCTGAAGACTGAAGTTTCAGTTTTTTTTTTGTGAGTTCAATTAATTTTGTAAAAGAAGGTTAAATCTTTAAAAAGGTCTATCCCTTTACCTATACATCCTTTAAGATTTTTCATAATTCCCACAATCATGTGTCCTGTTTCTAGTTTAAATTTTTTTTTTAATTTGAGTAGGGTTTCATGAATAGGATTTTGTAACACCCCTAGGCCTGAAGGGGTGTTGTCACTGCTGGGGGTGGGGAGCAGTTACTAGAACTGGAAATGAGAGCTACCAGTAAGTAAATCCTTGTGTGAAGCTGGTCATTCTAGGAGGACCTGGCCTTTGAGAGATGCAGTCAACTGAGGTGACCCTACACATGGATGCCAGATACCCTCAACCTCACTCTTCTCTTTACGTCCCATCTTTTATTTTTGTTTTTGAATAATTACACTTTATTGGGTCAGATAACATGAGATCTACCCTCTTAAACGTCACGTGTATGACATATTGTTGACTGTAGGCGCATGTCATGCAGTAGATCTCTAGAGCTTATTCATCTTCACTGAAGCTTTACGCCCGGTGACTAATAACTCCCCATTTCCCTCTCCTGCCAGCCCCTGGTACACCATTCCAGTCCTTGAATCTATGAATTTGACCGTTCTAGCTTCCTCATACAAGTGGAATCATGCACTGCCTTGCCTTTCTGTGTCTGGCTCGTTCCACTCAGCATGATGTCCTCAAGGTCCATCCATGTTGTCGAGTATTGGCAGAATTCTTTTTCTTATAAGGCCAAATAGCACTCTGCCCTGTGCATAGACCATATCATCTTTATCCGTTCCTCTCAGTGAATGTTTATGTTGTTTCTACATCTTAACTATTGCAAATAGTGCTGTAATGAACATAGGAGTGCTACTAATTTCTCTTCAAGATCCCGATTTCAGGGTTTTTTTTTTGATAAATATCCAGAAGTGGGATTTTTTTGGATCATATGGTAATTCTATGTTTAATGTTTTGAGGAACCTCCATACCATTTTCCGTAACTTCTGCGTCATTGTGCATTCCCACCAATGGTGTGCAAGAGTCCCAATTTCTCCTCATCCTTGCCAACGCTTGTTGTCTTTAGCTTAATAATTTTGGGGGATGGGGTAGTTTCTTTTGGGGTCACCAGTGCATATTTTCCCTTTGAGGTATTCTTTAGAAATACTTCTTTTTTCCTCTGGTTGATTTTCCATTAACTATAGAGTATACTTCATGAATAGATGATAAAGATACATGGGATTTAGCTAACTTGTTTTTCAAGAATGAGTATTTCTTGCCTTTTTTTTTTTTTTTTTTGAAGGGGGGCAAGAGAGATAGAGGGTTAGGAAGGGGAGAGGGAGAGAGAATCTTAAGCAGACTCCACAGTGTAGAGCCTGATGTGGGGCTCGACCTCACAACCCTGAAATCACTACCTGAGCTAAAAATCAAGAGTTGGACACTTGACTGAGCCACCCAAGTGCCCCAAGAATGAATATTTCTTTATTATTGCAGTGATGAGCCTGCCAGTGACCCTTTCCTTTCTATAGATCATTGCTCTCTTACAGAGCATTCTTAGATCCTCTTTAACTGGTTGCTAGGTAGGGAAACCTTGTCATAGTCAATGAGAGAGAGAGAGAGAGAAAGGTAAATGACCACATTTCTCACCTGCCTCTCTTATTTATGATCAGGATGCTGAGAAAGTTAATCTTTCTGTGCCTTAGTTTCCTCAACCGTTGGAGAAAAATAATTCAGAGCACAAATAAGAGTTCTGTTATGGCCTAAATTTCTAGTATTCCAGAATTCTAATTTAAGAATGTATAGCTTTTCCCAAAGTACAGTTTGAGGCACTGGCCATCATAAGAGTAGATTTTCTCAGCAGCATCTTCTGTGTCTCCTTTGAAAATCTTTTGCAGATAATGGAAGTTTTCAAGAAAGTAGTCTGCTACCTTACGTGAATAGATTACCACCGAGAGGGCCAGAGAGTATTGGTTCTTCTTTCTTCAGTTTAATCCCAATACATTGTTTTTCTGGGTTAATATCATTGAGAATTGATGGAGGATTGCCTCTTGTATTATCACCAGTAGATTTACCTCGACTAGAATCTGTTTTTGTTGCTTTTAAGCAGAAGAAGATTTCTAAGCAAACAAAAAAAGCTGAGCTGAAAGTCTAAAAATACTTGAAATGGTAACAAACTCTATAAGAAAGCACTCCTTGGAGAATGAAAGGAAACATTTTGATGAAGCGCATATTCTGGAATTGTCAACTAAAGCCGTCTTGTTTAATAAATGCTGTAAGAGCTCCAAGATTATCTTTTTTTGTTAAGACGTTTTGCCAACTCGTGATTAGACAATGGAAGTGAGACAATTCCAGTTGTATGCCAGACAAGATTGGCTTTATTTACTAAAAACATAGTTTTGCATAAGTCTGAAAGTATTTGCCATCAAGAAAGTTGGCCTTCATTTATTGTGAGCCCTGGGTGTGAGCAGTGGAGCTGTGCTGGCAGAGAGGATGTTAGTCATCTCTACAGATCTCCTGTGTGCTGTCTCCTCATGGGAAAGCGTCACTTGATGGAATGGATTCCTGCAGTTGGATGTTCTTTCCCAGGAGAAATAGACATAAATATTGAAAATTACTAATGGTAATGGATTGCCACTTGGCACTTATAACCAGGAGCAAGAATTCAGACATATGTATTTATATAAATGATTTAAGCTAATACAAATAAATAGCCTTTGATATACGCTGAGAACAGTTGCTCTTTTGCTCAGGTTGAGGGAAACCTATTATTCATGAATTCATGACTGTGGATTTAGTCATCTTATCACTCGCCTAAAGCTCTGTATGTAGGAGGGTTTATAAATAATGTTCTTTTTCATTAAAAGTTTAGGCAGCCTTTTGCTCTTTAAATTGAGTGATCTTAGTAAAGTGGGATATTAAAATACAAAGTTTCAACGTTTTTTTTCTTAAAAAAAAAAGAAAATTCATGAAGGCTCCTATTTCGGTTCTTTGTTTCTCCCTACAGGCTTGTGTCTCCAGAGCAGCCACCAAAGGCCAAGTTCCTGACCTTGGGGTCCAAATTCCGCTACAGCGGCCGCACCCAGGCCCAGACCCGTCAGGCAAGCACCCTCATTGACAGGCCCGCACCACACTTTGAGCGTACCTCTAGCAAACGGGTCTCCAGGAGTCTAGATGGAGGTAAACACATTTATGATAGTTTGGATGCCTTTAATCTTTCTCTAATCCAGTGGAATCAGAAAGGGTTGATATATTATAGTTAATGAGGTCCTCAGAAACATCCTAGAGGGACAGCTGTATTTTTCTGCGTAAATGAAATGGTGTTTCTTATACTCACAAGGAAAGTTTTATAGTGTTTTACAGCTGTCATTCTGAGCCTGTTTTCTTTGTACTGTCAGTGTACGCAAATATTGAGAATTCTCGTGGATAAGAGATTGGACAGACATATTGTTACTGATCTGACTTAATTGTGATGTATTTTGTGTGTCTTAATTTCGTGAACCTGTTAATTAATGGCAAAAGTGGAATTCCAAGGGTTTTGGTATAGGAACCTTTATTCAAAGGAACTTAAAATGTTCTAATTTTATGAGTTTAAAAACCCTTATTGAAGCTTACCAGACTTTCTAACATATGAGAAACCATCCACAACTTCCAAAGATTAGTTGGAATGAGTGCTTTAACAAAAGGAAAGGAAGGGGCGCCTGGGTGGCTCAGATGGTTAAGCGTCTGCCTTCGGCTCAGGTCATGATCCCAGGGTCCTGGGATCGAGCCCCACATTGGGCTCCTGGCTCAGCGGGGAGCCTGCTTCTCTCTCTCTCTCTCTCTCTCTCTCTATCTCTGTGTCTCAAATGAATAAATAAAAAAAAAAAATCGAAAGGAAAGGAAATACAGTGTAATCACTAGTTCTTCAGCCAAGACGGGGTGGGGGGGAGATATGTATAAATTTGTACATAATTTTATTAGAATTAGCTACATAATTGTAGTTTTATATATTTTACATATGGAAATAAATTGATGTTCTTTCCCTTCATATATGTATCTTATTTTGGGTTAATAGCACGTTTTCTGTAAAGGAGCCAAAGTTAATTTTATATTACAATGCTTTATAAGAGACTTCATTTTACTTTCTTCCTGGAAGAAAGTAATTGATGTGGATGACTTTCTCTCAGAAGTAGTTTTCCAACATTTTTTGGTTGATTAATCTCAAAACATATACAAAAATAGTAATATTAAATTTAAAAATTTGTTTCACTACTGTTGATCACCGAAAACCTTTCTTGGTTGCTCCTTATTACTGACATTTTTCTGAAATATGAACTAGAATAACTTCTATTTAAGTAGCTGAAACAGACATGCTAATAGATAAAAATGCACTCATACATACATATATATCTATATACACATATATATGTATATATATGTACATATATATAAATAAAATTTGAGTTTTTGTGTATAGTTGATGTAACAATGCTACATCAGCTTCAGGTATACAACGTAGTGATTCAATTTCTGTGTAATGCTGTGTTCACCGCACGTGAAGCTACCATCCGTCACCACACAATACTATTACAATATCATTGACTGTATTTTCCCTTCTGTATCTCTTATCACCATGACTTCTTCATTCTGTAACTGGAAACCTGTATCTCCCATTGCCCTTTGCCCATTTTGCCCATCCCCGGCCCCATTTCTCTCTGCGACCATCAGTTCTCTGTGTTTATAGGTCTGATTCTAAAAATGCTCTCTCATTAATGAAAGATTGACACTCCTCAGCCTTGATCTGTTTTTCCCAGAATAAATTTGGAAAACAGGTCCAGGCAGACACACAGAAATACATCCAGGGATTTGTTGGTGGGCATTTTGTATATATAGTGATTAAATCTTGATTCTGGAGAATCTCCCATATAATTTTGAGATGACAGGTATGCAAGGGGGTCATAAATTGTGGTTCAAATAAATGTCCACATTTCCAAAGGTAGTAATTTAAATTTAGTGAATTTTTAATGTATGATAGCTGTCAGTGTATCTTTTAGCTCATCAACAACTGAGCACTTTTTTTAAGTAAATGTGAAAAATGTATCCACTCATGTAGATATTTCACAAGCCTTGCCCCTTACCACAGAGAATTTATATAAGTGCTGCATAACTGCAGTCGGTGTTGGTTAATGCCCTGAGACGGTGTTGGTTAATGCCCTGAGACGAGTCATTCCTGTTGCTGGAATACTATCTGTTTCAGCCTTTGTTTTAAACTGTGAGGCTTTATAACTCTTATATTGCAAATTCTAGAGTTTAGAAAGAGCAGTAAACCACTGTTTTGACATAGATAAAACACTGCTCAAGGAAACCCACCATCTTGTATGAATGGTGAAGTGTAGAAGGTTATAGTAGGTCTGTATCTGGTAACAATGATTTTTACAAGTAAAAGCAACAAGCATAGCACAGTGATCCATTATTTTTCCTTTTGTGCTCTGGACACTGTAATTCATCAGATGGGCAAGTCATCAAAAGGATTATTGTGTTATTGTGAAAAATAGAAGGCTTTTCATGCCAATACATGACCAGACAGCCAGTGAACTATTTGATTAGGGATTCCAGGCTTTTTCCCTCCCAAAGCAAAGTGAGGCTGTAACCTGGTACTAAACTTTATTTTCACCACCACTCCTCATCAGTATACTTTGTTGTTGTTGTTGTTGTTGACGACATGTGATGTATTTTCTTGTCCCTGTTTAGTTTTTAAGTTAGACCAGACTAATTTAGATTCATAAATATTCCTTCCTTTAAGCTTTGACAAATGAAAATAAATCTTCCAGTGCTTGCATGCAACCTAAAAATGAATGCGATATCTAAGATGAAGCATTAAAATAAAAATCAGTCTAGAACCGCTTTTTTAGAACAGTGGGATTCCAAGACTGGAAAATCAAACCAAAAAGGACACAAGGCAGTCACTTAAGAGAACAACCAAGACGCATTGAGAGTGGGGGAGACAGCGATTTCCTGAAAATGGAGAATGTAATAAGCAGGGACCTGAGATTGGGTCATGAGAGAAGGAAGGCTCATCTGGGGAAGAACCATTTTGGTTGGGACTTGAAGGATGAGGAGGAGCTAGTCGTGAGTAGAGCAGGAGATAAAGCATTCCAGGTGGCAGGAGCAGCAGGTCTGAAGGTTATAAGATGAGGGAGAGCTTGATACAGTCCAGGAACAGAACGAAGACTAGTTAGAGCTTTGTAATTGATGGGAAGAGGTAGGCTGGGGGCAGGTCATGCAAGGCCTTGCAGGCCATGAGGAAGAATGTGGTTTTTATTCTAGTGCTATTGAAGTGTGTGTGTGTTGCACATGTGTGCACACTTACACAAGCATGTAAGTGCATAGTATTACCTTTTTTAAAAAAATTACTTGGTGCAGTGTTGAGAATGATTGATAGGACAAGACAGGAAGCAGGCAGAATGGTTAAGAATACTCCAGGTGAAAGGAATGGGGGTCTTGCCTTGGATGATTGTAGCCAGTTAGCCATTTGGCACCATAAGCTCAGTGCCTGGGGCCTACAGGCTTCTCAGGGTCCTACAAGTGCTTAAGACCTAAAAAAGGTTATTTGTTTCACAATGCAAAACAAAACAAACAGCCTGCCCCCCTGCACACGGAAATTAATAAGTGTGTAAAGGCATGCAAAATAAATATTTTGTCAACTTCATTATATAACTTTAAATTTGATATTCATTAACATTTTGATATCCTTACATCTAAAACCATTTCTAGGTCAGAGTTTTCCATTTTGCAATAATTTGAGTATGCATAATGGGTGCTTAGAAATCATAATCATAAATTAAAAGAGTTACTCATAGTCATAGATTTTCCAAGGGAAAATTACTAACATCCTCTCAAAAGTTAAAAATCCTGGAAAATAATTGTACTTCATGTAAGATGTGAGTTCATTTTGTGATTTTGGTGTGGGTTTTCAAAAGTGGGAGTACTTACGGACTTTCAAAGTCTTAAAATGGCCTGGGGTGTTAAAAATAGGGGAGGGAGAACTGGCCACATTTAGGTTCAGTTGGATTTGATGGTGTTGAGGGATGAAGGCCAGAGGCATCAAGGTTTCTGGCTTGGGTAACTGGTGTAAGTATGAGTGTGGTATCTGGTGGAAAAGGCAAGGCTAGGGAAGAAGGAAGGTTTGGTCAGGGTACGTGAAGGGTGTGGGCCAAGAGCTTTCTTGTAATACACATATTAGAGGTGCTTGATGCCTCCGCAGTTCGATATGGTGGATCACACACATCCCTGCCCTCCAGGAGCTTGCCGCCTAGAGGCCTTTGTGTTTCCTGCGCTTCTGTGGGGGCGTAGAACCAATGTCAGTCACCCTGTCAGTCAAGCGCTTTTTATACAGGTGAAATAACCTCAGTGATTGGGGGTTTGGGGGAGAAGCGACAGAGGGACAGAGGCTCTGTCGCTGCTTCTCACTTGCATTTGTTGAAATGTGACGCCGTCTTAGGTTGATCTGCCGTATGACTGAAATTTCAACACAATATACGTTCCTGTTCATCTGCAGGAGGGATGAAGGAAATACACGAGGGCCAAGTTTGCTGGGTTGGGAGGGTGTCTCCGTATTACATTTACTGTAGGTCAAGTTGAGGCATTCAGAGGGGAGGTTAGAAAAATGAAAACTATTAAACAGAATTCTATAATGTCGACCTTGATTGACTGTCTTGTCACAATTTTGAATGGTATTCAAATTAAAGGTTCCTTTATGGAAGAATCCTAAAGACTTATTGAAGCAAGTCATTTTAATCTCTAGATAATTATTTGTGGCAGTAAATAGATTCAGAAATAAGTTCAGGCACGATTAAAGAGACCCTAGAGAACTCAAATATTGCTCACGTTGGGATTCTGACATTATGCCCCATGTCTGTTTCAGCTGGTCTTAGAGCTCCTCCTACCGGCCAATTCCTTGATCAGACTCAAAACCTTCAAAAATTGGATTTGAGAGCCTGGTGTAGTTTAATGGGTTAAAATTCAGAATATATTTAGAATTTGGTAAAAGTTTAAAAGTGGGTTTGATGTGTTCGTATCTTCAGAGCTCAAGCAGTGTTCCTGCTAAATGTCTGCATGCTGCCTGTTTAATCTGTGTAAGTTTGACCATTGAAATGTCTTGAAGTAATCCCAAGTGACCCTTCTTTCCTAGCTCCAGTTGGTGTTGTCGATCAAAGTCTTATGAAGGATTTTCCTGGTCCTGCTGGGGAGGTTTCGGCCTACGGCCCCGGAGTTGTCAGCCCTGCCATGGTACAAGATGGGGATGGCAGAAGGGAGCTCAGAAGCCCAACTAAAGCCCCACATGTGCAATTCATTGAAGGAAAGGTATGGTAAATTAGAAGAAAATCTGATTTTAAATGTGTACTTAGACTACAGGCTGTTGCATTTGTTGTTTCAGAACTCAGGTATCATTTAAAATTAGTCAATGTTCTGTGTTGATATAAGTTCCCAATATGTAGGCTCCTACTGGTTTGAACAGGGTCTCTAACCTTTTTCTGATTGTTCAAAGCAAAATATTTCCATGTAAATTATATTAATGCAAGCAAGTAGTTTAGTGGCCTAAAATTTTTGACTGTCTGCAAAATCATCCTTTTTAGTTAAATCCCTATATTATAAGAGCTATGGTGACTTGAAATTTATATTTGTTACAAGTAAATTTTAAAGTATAGCCTCTCTTGAGTATTTAATTATGTTAACTTGAATTTTTTTTTTTTGAAATGAACAAAGATGATCTTTATGAAAAATGTTATTTTTCATTAATCTCTAACTGATGAAGAAGAAATCCTTAAGCAAAGCGTGGTTGGTTTGTGAATAGTGAATGAGAAGATGGTGTGTTGCTTATCTCCTTATTTGGGGCATACACCCCACTGAATGGAGAAGTAACTTATACTGTGTTTTCAGACTTCACTATTATTTTATGATAGCTTTTTACCTTGGGCAAGTAAAGTCACTTGGAGGTGGATTTGAAGAGGCTTTGAGTTCATTGGATCTCTCTTCTGTGTCTGCACAAAGCATCTTTTTTATAGATAACATTGGAAGTAAACACAAGAAGGAAATGAAATTCTGCTATAGATTTATAATGTTCTCTAGATGTTAACTTTTGAAAAATGTAAAGACTTGCAACATGAATTTATAAAGAACCTACTAGATGAAGGAGTTGCCAGTGGCTCAGGAATTCCTGCCCTATCAACCTGTCAGCATAGAGGAGAGCTCAGGGACCCTTACACCCCAAGGGCTTGGCCATCACATCCTCTGAATACCTTTGTTAAAGAATTTGTGACTATCACACCAAAAAGAATTATTTGGTTGAAAATCATTCAGTTAAAAATAACAGAAATTGTGGCCAACAAGATATCCTTCAACTATTGAAAAGTCGGAATCTTTTATGATTATGCTAATGAGGCCCCCAGGAGGATGGCTGCTTACATCTGAAACATAGCAGCTCAGCCTCTCAGAGTCTCCCTACCATTTTGCCTAGTTAATTTGATGCATGCAGTTATTTTTAAAAAGTTAACCTTAAATTCCAAAGGAAATTCTGCTTATCTTTAGCAAATGACTAGGTGTGCTGGTCATTCTGCTAAAGCTTTGAATGCTTGTCAGCAGCCGGGTTTAAAAGGAAGAATGTTATTTTACGTTTCATTGGATCTATTTGCGACTAGTCAGAAAATAATTAAATCAGTCTATTTTATGTGATAAAAGTAGTCCAGTTTTTCTCTTTAAAAGTGAGTCATTTAATTCATGTTCTAACTGTGCTGTGTTAATAACAATCCCTACTTGCAGGTACAAGTTTTCACTAACTGCCCATTTCTTCTCTTTCTCTCTTGCCTTTGTTTCTCCTTTGAATGTATCTGTTGTGCGATTTCACATTCAATCATGGGTTTGCTTCCGAGAGTAGCTTGTTTCCATGTGCCCACCTTCACCCCTCATTCGCTGTGTTCCATCTCTTTCCCCAAACCTTTTGCCAGTCCCTGAAATGGACTTGCTTTCAGACATTTCGGAGGAAGACCCCTTTGGGGAGGCCGACCAGATCACGCGAGACAGCTTAGAGCTCCCTTCCACCGGCGAGCTGTCAGAGCTGGGGGACTGCCAGGTCCCCACCCTTGATTCTCTCTCGGGTCCTGTTGCAGCCCCTCCCCAGCCTGACGGTCCTTCCACCCAGGAGAAGCCTCTAAAAGAGGCTGACCGCAAGGATTCTGAATTTGGGTACTTTTCCTTCCGTTTCTGCAAATGCTTCCCACCTAGCTTCCCCTCCCTTCTCGATGAAGATGGGTATCTTGCTTTCCCCAGCCTCCCCAAGGTCTGGGTCTCCTTCCTCCCCGCAGACATCCAGCACTACCTTCCTGTCACCTCCCCTTCCTTCCTGCCTTCCCTCGTCCTCGTCTTCGGGCTGCTTCTCTCTGCTTCTCAGTCAGTGCCTTTTTCTCTCACCTTTGCCCTTCCTCTGGCTCTGTCCCTCTGCTATCTGGAGGCTAAAGCTGCCTCCTTCAGCATTTCTTATGACTGGGACTCAAATGACAAAACCGAGGAAGAGGAAGCAGCCGACACTCCTCCATAAGCTTTAATTTGTGGGCTCAACAAAACTACATCTTCCTAATGTAGAGTGTAAACATGTGCATAAATTTCACCACGGATTACCCTCAAAATAGTAGGATCCGCACATTTTCGCATACATGGTGTTTTAGTGCATGAGAAATACATGTAAATAAGTACTTTCCCTTCATTGATTTCCATGGACCAGGTCCACACATTCGAAGTTGAGAGTGAAGTTATGGATTATTTTGTAAATACCTAGACCATACTAGGTCTTCAGAACAAAACAAAACAAAAAGATAACAGGAAACCTGTGTTGCCCTTAACAATCCATATTGGGTCTGTTTGTTTTGCAGACAAGTATCAGTGCTATCGATGCCGTTCCTTTAGGACGGAAACTTGTTCCAATATAGAACTTAGGATGCAGTGGATATAACCGTAATTGATGTGTATTAGTAGAATTCCTTAGTGTTGTTATTTCTTGTTAGAAAGCCAAGCTCGTTCTTGTAGTTATGAGGATGCATCTGTAACCTTTACTCCTGACATTTATGGGTCTAATCTCCGAAATTCCTTGTCTCCCTGTTACTGTAGCATTTGGGAACCAAATGAATTTCAGGTAGTTTTTTTTTTTTTTTTTTAACTCTAAATCATATAGTTTTAGGAAGAGTCACTGTCAGGTATTTGTAAGGAAGATACTACTCTTATCTTTAAGAAATACATTTGGAAAAATGAAACGTGGCTTTTTGAAAATTTAACACTATTCACCCTAAGGTTGGGCTACTTAGTGTCCTTTTATTTAAGATTAGGTGTCCGGTTTGAGGATTTTTACCCCTGGATAGAGCTACCTCTGCACTACTAGGTTGGTGCTAACATGAGCAGGATGTTTTTGTTTTGCTACATGTGGTCTGGTGACTTAGTGTCTCATATCCTGTGGGTACTGGCCATACATAAGGAAAAGTCACAATTTAGAGCAAACATAAAGAAAAATGTAAAGATGACGCTATGATTAGGCATACTGGGAGAAACCACTATTCCTAAAGGTTAACTGAAGAATGCCAAAGATTGGCATTTTAGGGAATTAAGTATTGACCAAGGAATTGGCACGTGATCCTTAATAGATTTGGATAGCTCTTATTTTCCCTTCTGATAAAAAGATACTGAGCTCCCTGCTCACCTCAAAAATACTTGGTTTAAGGGAAAAAAAAAAAAAGGCATTTTGAACTCTCAGATTTAACACTATCATTCCAGTAAAGAAGAAAAGGAATATGTATGATCCTGCTATAGATTAACACATGAAGGTTACACTATTGTCTTTTGGTCTCAGAATCATTATTTTTCTTTCTTGTTCTTCCTTTCCTTGAGTCAGTAGTTATCAGGATTTATGCTTTTTTTTTAATTTATTGAAGTATAATTGACATACAGTGTTACATTAGTTTCAGGTGTATAACATAACGATTCGACAATTCTATAATCTATCACCATATGACATTATTAGAATATTATTGACTATATACCCTATGCTGGGCTTTTCATCTCCATGAGTTAGTTTTAAATTTTACAGGTCTTTTTTCTTTTGGGTCATTAGATACTGAGAATTATCCAACTATGAAAAACTATTCTTATTTAAAGAATTTTATGAAAGAAAAGTGGCTATAAAATATGAGTACTTTTAAATATAATTTTAACATGCAGGTAGCAAAATAAACCAATTTTCCTCCCAAGGAAAGAAATCTCTGGTAAAAAACTGAATTAGAGGGTGAATATTTGTCCCTGGTATAAAATTTGGTTTTCACTCCACATCATTCTACTTTGCCCTCATCCCTAGATTGATTTAGACCTTTCACATTAGGACACATGGAATTATGCCATTGTTACACTCTCCTATTTTCATTTCTGAGCAAAAACATTCAAAAACAGCACATAATCTAGGGACTGAGAAAGAGTGAAGCTTCCATTTTCCATTCCACCTTTGCAAAGGATTCCTTCCACCATTTGTGCAACACCGTAGGTGAAGAAAGACCAAAGTGGCTTTATGTTCGGCATCTTCTGAGGGCCAAACAGTAAAGGTTGGTAATTCTAGTTCACCATTTGAGTTCAAATACATCTTTGCACCCATGGGTAGAGTTTCTACTACTACTCGCCTTCTTTCTGGCCATTTGCTCTATGACTTTCAGGTGAAAATGGAAGAAGAGAAGACACAGCTGGAGGAGGTGGATATTTATTCCCCCCCTCCAAATTAAATACCCAGTGACTGCTGCCTGTCAAAACTATTGTGTGTGTATGTGTGTGCACGTGCGTGCGGGGTGGGGGGGGTAATGCGCTTTCGGGGTTGATATGTGAGTTTTGCTTGTTATGGCTTTTAGGTTCTTAAGATTTTTATTCCTCTTGTATTTTAATGTCTTGGACTATCCAACTTGGGGTTGTTTCTGGTGCTTGCTGATTGATACACTTATGTTTATTTGCCTTTTCCCCCCTGTGTGTGATTTAATTTCACAGAAAAATTCCTTGAGAGTAGAAGGGGATAATATTTATGTCAGACATAGCAATTTAATGTTGGAGGTTTGTATACTTTAAGAAAACAACTCTGTCCTCATGGCTGCCAGGCTGCTGTGGACGGGAGGTCACGCGCAGGCTGGCTGGCCGGCAACTTCCCGCAAGCACATTGCATGAACTGCATGGGGGACAGTTCGACTTGGAGTGCATGTTAGCTCCGACTTTGTTCTTTTAAAGTGGCTTCGGTAGGAATAGATCTACTAGAAGTTCTCAAAGTGACAACTGGGAAAAAAAAAAAATTCTGTTCAATCGAATGAGTAAAATTTTTATCTATTACTCTTAGAGTTCTACAGGTAAATCTGTTCTCTCCTAAGGGGTCATCTCCGTGGTATAGAATCTGAAGTAACATCCCATCCTTAATATATATTCACCCAGAACAGATATTTGTTGGTTTGGCATTAAATGGCTTTAGATCCATGTTCACAATTATGGGGGAAAGTTGCTTAAATCCATGCAATTAGGAATGTGGTTCACTTAAAGTAATTACCTTTGAGAAAATGTTGATTAATGGGATTGTTTGGATTAAAAAGAAAGTGAAGAAAGAAAGGAAAAAAAAAAAAAAACCTAACCAACCAATCAGGTGTGTAAAATATATTCCCCGTGTCACACGAGAACATTTGTTGTTTGTTTTTGTTTTTCCCCTTCTTCTTTTATGGTAGTAAAATGGTGATGTATTCAGTGGAGAATTGCAATGCTCAGTAATCTGACTAATCTGGTTGCTTTTGGCAGCTTTGATAACTATTGGAAATGTATTTTGCATAACTTACTAAAATGCTCTACAGTGTAATATGTAACCTTGCTTTGAACAAATGCAAGAAATGTGCCTGATCTCAAGCCACAGTCATTTTTCCATGCCATGCAAAGAGTTTTAGATTATCATGAGTTTTTGCAAATGGCTATAGAAGCTCCTAGAGGAGCTACTATGCTTGTGCATGAATGTGGAAGATCTAATTTTATCAGATGCATGACCTGTTCCTCTGGGAGTGGGATGAAAGCTATAATCCGCAGGTGGCCCTATGATTTTGAAGTGTAAGAAAAGATTTAAAATTCACTTAAAAGTGTTTCCTGAACATTAATTACCTTTTATTCCCACAAAGACAGGGCCAATCTAAAAATTCCCACAAATACCATTTGTCAGGGCCTAGTGCAGTGAAAATTGACCTGATAGTTTTTCTTGTATCTTTGTCTTGTATAAGGACCATTTGGTATGTGGGGTGGCTGGGCCTCACAGTTGTGCTTGGCAAGTACACGAAACCAGTATACGAGGTTCCCTCTTTTACAGAGAGACCAAACAGAAGGAGCCTCTGGAAGCCAGTATTTTGATTCCTTAAGGATTAAAAGCCATTGCTGGAATTTCCTGGAAAAAGTTAACCCTTGGTTTTCTTTCTTTCTCTCTCTCTCTCTCTCTCTCTCTCTGATGATCTTGGTCTGGCTTTCCCATCAGGCCAAATGTGCTTCTGATTACCTTTCTCTGTTTTTACTTCATTTACTGTGTTCACAGAATGCAGCTGTAGTAATAGCCTGAATGAGAAAGGTATATTTGCAGGAGCGAAGTCCTAGGCTGCATTTTAAAGCCAGTTACTAGAAAGAAGGTGATTAGCCATTTCGCGTACTAGTGATTCCATGGCTTCCTTCGAATAATATAAGTAACTATTTCTTTAAAAAATATTCTAAACAGAAGAAACCAGAACTTATTAAAATGGGAATCATTAAAAAAATATATACATTGGCTCTATTTTCAAATTTTGATGAACTACTTCTATTCATAGGTGATAACATGGCTTTTGAGACTTGGCATTTTTCTTGCTTTACTATGTTTTTTTTAATCATAAGTTTGCTTTGTCTTATTTTTTGGTTTTTTATTTTTGTCCTGCTGGGATTTTTTTTTTTTTCCCCTTTTGGATTTCCACCCTTTGTTACGTTACATATTGCTAGGACCTCGATAAGGCCCAGGAGGACATACTGAGACATCAGGCTAGCATTAGTGAACTCAAGCGCAATTTTATGGAATCCACACCTGAGCCGCGCCCTAATGAATGGGAAAAACGACGTATCACACCTCTGTCCCTACAGACACAAGGGGTATGTCAATAGCTGTTTGTTGGCTGTATGTCTCGCTCCAGCTCTTCGGTAAAACTCGGGTCGCTGATCTATGATATTGATTCTCAGAGGGTTAGACAATGTTCCCTTCTTTTTAATGTAATTGCTAACAATGTTTTAAATACTAAATATTAACAATGTAATACTTATTGACATAGTTCTTAGTAAATTGTGTGAGTTTCAAAATATTTTCAAAACTTGCGGAATAATTTCACTATTTTACTCAAGTAAATGAGTAGTAATGCAATGTTCTATAGGGTGGCTTAGAAACAGATATTGTGTTGTATTTAATATGGTTTTCAGTAATGGACTACTGAAGTAATAGAGTTTACTTGATAAATAATTAATAATTAAAGGGATGTAGGAATATAGATCGTATTTACAGTGGTTTAAGGTAGTTACTGTGAGGATAAAGAGTTAACCTTAGCTTTGAAAACTAATGAGCCCTGTTGAAAATTTGCAGAATGTTGTACAACTTAAAACTGAAACTTCTTAGTAATGAAATGTAGACTACTGTTTTAAAAGGATTTTCAACCATAACATCTCTCCAAACTCATTCTTTTTCTTTCCATGGTTTATTTCTTCCCGCTACCAATATAAGTGTTGCCTTTCGAGGATATTCTCAATCTATTTCTCCATTCATTCTCATCTGCATCTCTTCTTTTCTGATGCTCCAAAATCTGTTATCAACCAAGAACTTTCATGGACTCATTTACCATACTTGAGGAGATAATGATCATACTCTATTATAATGTGCTGTTTTAAAAAGCGGGTGAAGGTTTTACCCAACAATTTCGTGTTTCCCCTTTTCCTTACAGCCCTCTCTTCCCCTGAAGCTCATCATCTCTCTCGTCTGGCTCGAATGTTACCAAATGTGTACGCACTTGAGTTACTCTCATGCTATTTTTATTCACTTTTTCTGAAAAAGGCAAAGCTGTTAGTTGCTTTAAATTTGTAAGTTTGTGACAGTGAAAGGAAAATAGCTCTTTGAGAACAGATGCAAAAATAATCGCTGAACCGAGAAAACCACGGATGACAACATTAAGATCGAAAACACCAGGGTCTTACGAAGTTGTATACAGCTTACATTCTTATTTTCAGATTTTCTGAAGATATTAATGCCCCTATGTCAGCAGTCAGCTCTAGAGGGTTGCGTTTTCTGGAGAAACCATGTCTAATGACGTGCTAAGATCTTGTCCTCCTTTATGTGCTGCTTTATCCGGTCCGTTCTGCTGACCCACACAGTTGTTTTATGTTTGTGTTGCTATAGATGTAATGTACTTGTCTTATTTGTTGATTATGTCTATTGTTTGAAACAATAGAGAAAAGGAGATCATCTTTTCAAGGATATTTTATCCGTGAAGGAGAAGCATCAGATGGCAGCAACACGGACAGTTGAAGGAAAAGTCCAGGAGACAGACAAGGTGTTCACCTTGCATTCTTGGATCTACTCTTGCTTTTCCCCCTTTCCTTTTATTTTGGTCCGCAGCCATAAGATACTCCTTTTTTTCTTACGTAGTCACCTAAAATTTTGTTGAAATAATCTTTTGAGCATTTAAAAAATGAAATTTCCTTATATGGAAACATAGGATCATTAGTGAGAAACACCATATTGCAGGAGGACTTGTATTTGAAAATCCACAATTTGAAATGCAGACATGTCAACCAATTTAGGTGATCAATAACCCCGAATTTTGATGTATGTGGCTGACAGTTGGGAGACCATGATCTCATGGGAAAATGCACCATTAGTACAACGCTCATGTGCAGACTGTGGCGGTGTTAAAATCACAGATAATGTGTGATGTGGGTAGCTATTTTTCTAATTCCATTTGGAAACCTTACGAATTTTCATTTTTAAGATTTTTAGTGGGAGAAAAGATTTGATGTGTGTCACAGTAGCCACTCAGATCTCTGTGCTCCCCGCATATATGAAATATCTGATATTACTAGGGAAGTTAGCTTTCCATTGCTTTTACATACCTCTGTTCTTCTTCTGTTTCTACTAATTTTGCTTAGCCAGCTGACTGGCCTGTCATTTGCTGGGACTAGAGTGCTTAGAGTGCAGTGGGGGAGATAGCAGACATGTTAATTAGTAATTAGAAAATGTAGGGTACTAAGGAATAAGGGTTAAGAAGATGAAATACAGTGTCCTGTTAGAGGGTGACTGGGAAGGCGGCTTTCCTGCTGTGCTCAGGAAAGAGATAGCATTGGAGTTGAGACCTTGATACGAAGAGAAGGAGAGAGACATGTGAAGATTCTTCCATGTGTAAAGAAGAGGAAGTGCAACAGCCCCAAGACAGGAACTAGTTCAAGGAACTGAAAGTCCAGATGACAAGGGTTAGGAAAAGTCCAAGAGGTCAGAAGGTCCACTCTGGATCTTAAAGACCAGACTAACAGCTTGGAATTCTATCGTAGGAGTGATGGGAAGCCATTGGAGAGTTTTAAGCTGGGTAATGACCTAATCCCACATGTCGGACAGAGGTCCCTCTGGTACTGGATGAGGAACGGGTCCTAGGGGGGATGTGAATGAGAGCAGAAATCAGTGATAAGGAAAAAATGTATCCGTTCCCCAAAGTCTGGTCTTGTTAATCCGTAGACAGTCGCATTCATCAGAAGATACGGTGGGGTGGGCGAGGAGGCGGGATAACTGGAAGATGAAGCCTTGCCCTAGAGGAATTGGAGGTGTGGCTGAGACGAAATATTTCCAGAGGACTGCAAATGAGAAAGATAATGTCATAAAGCTAAACCAAGTGCCATATTTATATACTTTAACGGTTAGCCTGAAATCCAAAGCCTGTCAGACTGTGTGTAAAATGACTTTAGTATCCTATGCTTTGAAATATTATGTAGTTCTGAAAATTTAACCTCCAGAAGCAAGACGCACGGCAGCATTTGATCAATTTAAAATGATGTCTTTGTACTTTTTGCAATAGGAGACCTGGGAATTTTGGTGAAGATGTTGAAAATTACCATCTTTCCAGGCTGTCATGGTTTAGAATCGTCCAGTAGAGACCATATACAGTAGAAATCATTCACTCGTTGTCGTAGAAGTTACATTAAGATCCTGTTATGTGGAATCTAAATCTGGAATTGACCTCCTGTTATGCTCCTGAATGGTTTCTCTCTACTTGAAGTGGCTGCTTTTTTGTTGTTTTCCTCTCCAGTACCTGCAGGAAAATATATTCTTATTTGGCATGTATGTGGATTGTTGTAACTGTGGTCATGCCTCCGTTCACCCATTCACCCAACATTTATGGACCACTTACATGGTAACCCCTGCCTCCCTGCCAATAACCTTTCACTACTATTAGTTGAAAGTGTGTGAGCAGTTAAGTCTACCAGAGTGTTTGGCTTTTAACAGAATATCTTTAAAATTTGTCTTTGCCGCATCTTCATTTTGCTACTGATTTTGTAGGGTTTCTTTCGATTGTAATCCTTAATGAAAGTAAAATAAAAAGTTATGCATGAGAGTAGTCTAATTTGACCAAAGTTTCTAGATTTCTATAATATGGGTTTCATAGATCAAAATAAAAACAGTAGTTCTTTTTTCTTTCTTTCTTGTTTTCTTTTTCTTTTTTTAAGTAATCTTTACACCAAATGCGGGGCTCAAACTCACAACCCCAAGATCAGGAGTCCCGTCCTCCTCCAACTGAGCCAACCAGGCTCCCCCAAAGAGTAGAGTTCTTGTTTAAATACCCTGAACTTTCAGAATGGCTTCAGTTTGAATATGATTTTGAGAGAAAATTGGAAACCAAATTATTTAGTAGAATACATTTACATTTAGTAAATAACTATTGTATATCCTCTTTTGTAAGAATTATGACATACTCGTATTCTCATGAGTCTAGTAGAGATTACACGGACTGTGGTTGTAAGGTACTTTTGAAGATGTTTTATTGAATAATCAAATGCATGGCACTTGAGCTCCCCAGTGCTCTCTGACCAGGAAGGACACTCTTTCCACCCACCCAACCCGGAGGGATGGTGTAATTATGGAGATTATAATTAAGCTGAATTAACCCAGAAGATGTTTTTTTCGCAAGTGCTTCTGCACCTCACCCATCTCCTCTCATTGTCCGTACTCCTCACCACCCCCCTAGTGCCCTGTTCCAAGGGGCATCTCGGAAATGCCATTCATTTATTTATTCATCCTTAAGCTCTCTGAACACTAGGGTTTTTTAGGAAGTATTCTTACACAATTTTGACATTCGCTTTATGGCAACTCTTTGCTGTTGGCATTACAGGTACCTGGGACAGTCCCTGGCTTTCCCGTTGTGCCCTCAGGCGGGTTAGGGACTGTTGTTTCAGGGCCAGAAATGGCAACATGAACTTTGCTTTCATGGTTTCTCAGGGACAGATGGTTTTCACATTGCTCACTTGAGTTTTCACCTCTGAGTTTGTCTTCCTACTGAGAATTGTTTTCTTTTCCTGTCTCTTCATCCCGTGACCTATTTAGCATGTCTGAGGGAATGTCTGTGGGTTGCTGTCAGAGCGCTCATCGTACAGACCGTTCAAGTGGTATGGAGAAGGGAGGAGGCTAGAGGAGCTGGAATGGATAGGGAGGCCCATTACAAAATAGGGACTATTAAGTGGACCTCAGAGAGGTGACAAAATCGGCAAGGCCCAGTGTGCCTCGGGAAGGGCATTGGAGGCAGGAGGGTGGGCTCACTCAAGCTCTTACACAGGAACAAGCGTGGGCCAAGAGTAGGGGCCCCTGAGGAGACCATTCTGGGCAGAACTAGAGGCTGAAGCCGAGCAGCCCCTTCAGGAATGTATAAAATAGTGTTCAATGTGTGGGTGGATCAGTTGTTCTCGGTTTGGAAATAAAGTTTCAGGGATAAACTAAGGCTTTTTTTTATTAAGCTGGTTCCCAGAGGTGAGAGCTCTCAGATTCTCAAGCAGAGTGGAAAGCTAGCATTTAGGCAAAACGCCACAGACACCTGCTAGAATCTTTCCAACTCCTCGCCTATCCCTCAGTTTATGCTGTTCTGTGATTCTCTCTTGTGTAACCTTTCCTTTCTCTCAGTAGGTCACTGCTGTCTGTTCTGACTCCTTGTTAATTCTTTGCTCTTCCTTTTCTGACTTCTCCAGAGCCTAGAAGAGGAAATAACGTCCATTTTGTTGAGTGAAAAGGGCTTTGCTGATAGCTTGCGAGCCCCCTTCACCTCAGCCACCACTCGGACAGCAGAGGGCGCTGTTGTGAACTGTAGTGTGCCTCCCGAAACGCTTTCTTCCTCGCCCTTCTCACGCTTGCCTGAGGTGCATTTTACTTTGTTTCCCGTTTTCAAAAGCCACATATGATTTTTTTTTCCCGAATATTTAGGAACCCCTCTCTCCAGTGCTTTCATTGGTTAAAATTAACTCTTCCTGGGAGAATCATTCAGGAAACAATAAGTGAATTTGGACATGAGGGAAAACCACAGATTGGTTGTTTCTCCTGCCGCCTTTGGTCCCCTGTCAGCCCACAAAATCTGCCTAAATTCAGAGACTCATCTAAAGCAGTAAGGCCCAGAGTCTGAGTTGTTGTGGGAAAGGAAGCCCTCACTCTAAGGGAAGCGAAGTGTGTTTGGCAGAAAAGTTTTTAAAGTTGAAACACCTTTCAGGCCTCTCCTGATGGCTCCTTATTTTTAAAATTCTGTTCATGTGTAAAAATACGAAGTGCCTGCCATGCCCAGTGAAATAATTATTTTCATTTCTTGGACTGACCCTTAGGGATTCCCTGAACTTGGGCAGAGCCCATCTGGCCATTTGGGGTTAAGTAATAATTTACTGACCTGGAATAATAATGATGGGATGTCTGCTTTAGAAATGTTCTGACCACTGGATATCTTTATTTATAAAGAAGTTTATAGTTAAGTGTTACTCATCAAAAAAGCTTCAGAGTTTTCCAGTTCGATATCTGAAACCTCTGGGTTTTCAGTAAAAACTGGAGGGATCTTTCTCTTGTACTGACATACACGCTACTGATTTCGAGCCATGAAAACGTGGCCTTACCACGCAACTAAGAATAACAGCACAGATCAGAGAGAGTACATGTTGACGGGTGCTGTCAGAAGTGTGCCCTTTTAGGGCCTTTTGCTCACGGTTGCCCACGTCACAGGTGCAGATAAATGGGGGATGCTGCTGTCTGATCCAGGACCCAGCTCCTGTCCTGGCAGCTCCGCCGCAGGCTTCGTTTCTGGCCGCAGGGTTCAGAGGCGCACTGCCCCGCTCCACACGGCATGAAGATACCTTCTTGAAGTAGGGCTGCTACCTCTAGCAGAACTATTTCCCAGTGAGATCACAGGCTCTAATGTCACCCGAATGTTAAAAAGTTAGCGAGGCTTCATTTTTATCAGTGTAAATAGCCCCTCCCCTCCTTTCAAAACAAGTTTAAGGAAAAGTGTAAGCTTTCAAAACTCCTTTGCAAGAAAATTTCTATACTGGTTATCAATAGCAAAGCATAATTATTTATATTACTAATGTATTTAGTCAACAGGTATTTATTAAACATTTAGGTAGTGTACTACTTAGAGTAAATTTGCTCCCAAGAAGTAGATGTCTGGGGGGGGGGAGGGGGGTAGGAATAAACATCTCGGATAATAAACTTGGTTCGTTTCCGTTTCCAAAGATGCTAGTTGGAGGAGCTAAATTCTAGAAGAAGGCACTTGGAGCTATCATTGATATCCACCCTAATGTTAAAATATCTCTTTTGCCAATCTATAATATAGTTTGGGAGGTTAATAACCATTTCCGAAACAACATTTTTGTGTTAATAGCTATCTGAGACCAAGTATAATTTTTGCCAATTACAGCTGTTTTTTTTAAAATGAGCCAGCAGAAAATAAAGGTGCCATCTCATTAATGCTATATTCACTTAGGAATCAGGGTTTCAGGCCAGGCTTTATAGTCTGCTTAAAATCAAAACCGTTTATTGAATAGGTTTTTAAAAGTTTTGCAATTTCAACTTCAGTCAGGCAGCTTTGGTATAATTCCATTTTTTCCCCTCCCCTTTCAACTAAATAAGGAGAGCTGATAGTTATAACTACAATAAAAGCATTTTATGTCTTTGGGAGGATGCTATTTTGTGTTTTTGTTTCCTTTCGTAAGCTTTTTGCATTTTTGTCTGGATTGTCCTCCATGTGACCTTGAGCAAAGATTTTTGTGGATGTGGATTCTTGCTGTTCTGTCTTTGCAGTGTCAGATGTTTGTTTTGGTGGGTGTTGAGGTGTAAAACTATATTGATTTGTGTCCTCGGTTGCTTTTTGTTTCGCAGAAACGCGCTCCCGAGTCCGAAGGGCCTTGCACCGGAGCCAGTGATGCTGTTAAGGTTCTCCCCTTTTCCATGTTAACGCCATCGCCTGATGTTTCTGACCCCCTCACGTTCTCCCCGCTTCCCTTTCAGTCAGCCATCATAATCATCTGTGTTTTTCTCCATGACATGAACCTACCATCATTGGTTAACTTTGGTTTCCGTCGTTTTTGTTTTTGTTTTGTTTTGTTTTTATTTATTCATGTATTTTTGTTCTCCCTCATCCATTTCTTTTTTGTGCAGAGTTCACATGAGACTCTGAATGTAGTGGAGGAGAAGAAACAGGCAGAGGTTGGGAAAGACGAAAGAGTAATCACGGAAGAAATGAACGGTAAAGAGCTATCACCTGGGAGTGGTCCTGGGGAGATGCGTAAGGTGGAGCCTCTGACCCAGAAAGACTCCACCTCCCTGTCTTCTGAGAGCAGCCACGGCAGCGAGAGCGAGGAGGAAGACGGGGGCGAGTACCGGCCCCACCACCGTGTGACCGCGGGCACCATACGGGAAGAGCGGGAGGAGGACGAAGAGGTGGAGGAAGAAGCCGGCCGAGCAGCCCAGGTAGTAGAGAGGGAGGAAGCGGTACCAGAAGCCAGCCCAGTCAGACAAGCAGGTGCCAGTGTAAGCGCAGTAGAAACAGTGATCCGGGAGAATGTAGTTGCCCCACAGATACCTGCAGAGAAGAGTGTAAACGAAGGCGCTATTAAGCAAGACATGAGCGAAGAAACAGAGGACGAGCAACACACAGTTAACGGAGAGGTGTCTCATGTTGACATTGATGTTTTGCCACAAATTATTTGTTGTTCAGAGGTAAATGGGAGACCCGAGCGGGAGCTAAACTCTAGAGCTGTTCCTCAGGTGGAGAACACCTGCCTTCCTTCTGCTGTCCTCCCGATCCTCCTCCAGCTTTTTCTACGAGATTCTGGTCTTTGTCTCTCCTGGGAGGAGGGGGAAAAGCACTGTTCTCTAGGTTCTCTGCCAGCTCTGTTCACGGTTTCTGGCTTCTTTACTGCACCTGGATCCACCTGACAGAGTAAACTTGCCTTCAGCAGCCACACCGTTTTTTTTTTCTCTTCTCGTTTCACACTTAAAATTTTTCTTTGCACGTTTTGGATGTTTTCAACTGTTTGTCTTTAGTTGCACTGCTTCCTTGTGCTTAATGCCTTTTTTGTTGGTTTAATGAGAAAAACTGTACCTGTAGTGTTGACAAACGGTCAGTGTGAGTGTGTGCGTGTGGCTGTTACCATGATTGGGCTTGACTTTTTGGCTGATTCTCCCTTCAGCTTTAGATGTTTAGAAGTGGCAGCTGGTTCTGATTACCGTGGTGCTCGGAGTCCCGCATCCGGCAGTGATGAAAACATATTTCTCAAATACCACTGTGATTGCTGTTTTTAGATTCCAGAGAGCGTACGGATTGCTTTAAGAGCATTTTCTTTTCTTGTGCGCAGCCAGAGGCTAGCCTGTTTTATAGGAGGACACTCTTCTCATTCTGTCCTCTCTCAATTCTGGATGATTTGCAAGTTGATCATGTGTTTTGTGGATTATCTAAATTGGATAGGAGTCTTTAACCCTTTCTCTTCAAGAAAGAGAACTCTCCATACTCCTGGTAAATTAAGTCTCGGTCATGAGGCGTGGGTGTCTCTGAATTAGGAGTCATGAGACTTTCTTGATTCTGCAATTAAATGCCCACGATGTAGGCTCTCTTCGATGGGCTGGGAAATTTTGAAGTGACTTTGTCTTGAGATAATTAAATGGATTTTTACTATATTTTAAACTTCCTGCTTCACTTCAGAGAAGACATTTCAAGAGCCCTTGAACGCTCTGAACTCTTATTTTCTGCGTTTAACATATGGTTGTTCCTCTTTAAATAATTACACTCGGGAATTGTCTCTCAAAGTACTGTAGTATTTTGGTAGTAGTATGGTCTGGTGTTGTATTAAACCTACATGCTCTGCAGACTACAAAGCTAGCAGGCCGTCACCCTGTTGTTTAATGTTTTCATTGTTCAAAGCCTTAATGCAGTGTTGGTGGAATAACTCTAGATGTAATATTTTAACTTTTGTAACACAAAAGCACTGCAAGTTTTAGACAATTATAATTGAAAAGATCATACTTGAAGATATTCTTAAAGTAGAATCTCTTTGTCGGTAGGGTAGAAGAGACTTTTTGGGGGAAGAGCTTAGTCTCCCTACCTGATGTGCCAATTAAAGACAATGAGCCTTCACACAAACCACGTGGTTCTTTAAACCGCAGTAAAAATTGAGACAGGTCACTTCACATAGTTCATTCGTTTTGTTTTCTTCTCCATTTTGTTATAGCTTGCCCCAAAGCTAAAGTTTATATATCACTGTGCACACCACGTTTGACGTGTAATTGGGGCCATGGTAATTTGAAGTGTACCATAATTTAGGGAGCCATTATGTTAGCTTATTCTTCATACATATATGTGTGTGTCTGTGTACATGCATACATACACACATACATATATATGATATTTGAAGGAAAGTGTTTCTCTTTTGTGTCTTTTATTTACCTTTACTCTTGTGCATGAGTGTGTGTTTGGATATATTTTTTACAATTATTTTTGAAGGCTCCATTAAACATTTTTACTTCGTGACCTCTAGAATTTATTTTTCCCTTCCTTTCCACCTCAGCCACCAGTGGTAAAAACAGAGATGGTAACAATTTCTGATGCCTCACAAAGGACAGAAATCTCCACCAAGGAAGTCCCTATTGTCCAAACTGAGACCAAAACCATCACATATGAGTCTCCACAGGTACAAAAACTCTAGATTTGGACTACTTGAGTTCTTTTTTACTTTGTGTCTGTTTTTATTTGTCTTCTAGTTTACGTGTTTCTGACCTTGATGTAGCCTTCCGTATCTCGGTGTCATAATCGCAATCAAGCCTGCTGTATTGTTTCTTAGATTACGACAGAGCTGCAGTCAAATTGGCGGCCCAGCAATTCGGGGGTGGGGGTGGGGGAGAGGGCATACACAGGATTATTTAGGAGAGGCAGGAGCAATCTTGTCCATGTTATAAGTCGTTCTGGGCATGTTGATATACACTTGGGAATCAGGTCACTTACAAAGTTTATTGGATCTGATGTAATTTGTGGATTCGTAAGATTTAGGCTCTTCCCCCCCACAAACTCCGTGCAGATAAGATCGAGTCAACTCATTCTTGCTTGCCAAGTGTACACACACACACACACACACACTTCTGTGCTTCTCCTTCACGTGGGATTTTCTGAAGATGTGTTGTCGATCTTATGTAAATATGATACTGTGTGTCAAAATAATTATCAGATTTGTGAGTTTAATTTTAGACATTTAGACATTCAGACATTGATTCTGTAAAGATTTGAAATATGCATTAAGATGTCTAGCCTTAAGGGTAGTAAAAAAGGGGAAAGCGTTCATTATGTCAAAATGGAACTGTTTAGAAATTTACACAACTATTTTCTCGTCTGAGAAATTTAGTGTTCTACAGTAGGATTGTACCATGGTGGAGGGTGGCAGATTATTGACCTCTCTCAGAATCTTTTTTAAAAGGTTTAACGTGGGTATGTTTAAATACTCCTCAAAATTATTTTAGACATGTTATCCATGTATGTGCATAGATCCACATAAACCAAAACGGGTTTCTCATGAATGGGTGTGGTGGGAGAGCATGTACTCGTGTGTCTGTAGTATAGTAAGTGCCCTAGTAAAGAAATACAGGTGCATGACTCAAATTTAGAGAAATTTCCCCGTAACTTGGTCCAAAAGGCTCTGGGCTTTCTGGTTATTTCCTTGTGATACTGTCAGGAAATGGGAGACAAGTATGTTTGGTGATCTTCACATGTACTCTTAGGCTATTAATTTGTTTCCTATTTCCCCTGGTAAACTCTAGAACTTTCTACCTTTTTTAGTATCAAAGCAAACAAGTCAAAACCTAGTTAGATATATGCCTGGGAATTATATATGACCCATGCAGAGCAAGCACATGCATATTAAAATCCATGTACCCATATATATGCTCATAACAAACTATTACAGGAACAGTGTTATTTTAAAAAATCTACTAGAGATAAGCAAATTACCAAATCACATAGGTTTAGTCTATCCTAGTCAGGTTCTGTGGCTTCTTAAATGAGAAAATGTTTATCTGTTTTTACCACCTGTGCTAGAAAAAAAACAATGAACTCAGCACTTCTGGTCACTGTGGAAACTTCCCTGTCTGGTTCTCTAGTTTCTTTTTCTAGCTTCTGCAAAAGGCCTTCGGTCACACTGTCTCATGACCCTTGTAGCTCTCAGTCCCATTTTCTACTTGATTCTTCCTTTTTTTTCTCCCTCCCAGGAGGTTTGCTTCTCCACGTGCATTTAGCCTTTGCCTTTACTCTGTTTAAAGGCCAGCCAACCTCCTGCTCAGTAAATCACCGCTACAAACATGCAAAGGATGGGCAGATAACGTCTTCTGCCGACCTCGAAGATTTCACAAGATGCATATTCGACGGGGAGGGGTCTTTTTGACAACATAATGGAAATTAAGCATTACTTTGTATTTTTCCTCCAACTATCCAAAGATTGACGGCGGGGCCGGTGGTGACTCGGGGACATTACTGACAGCACAAACCATCACATCTGAGTCTGTGTCGACAACGACAACAACACATATCACCAAGGTAAAGCAATCCAGGGTGAGACCTTGCAAACAGGACCTTTTCTGAGTTGTTTCTTTGTTCCTCTACAAGCTTCAAAGTAATAGACCGTGCCAGTGGAATAAAAATGCCCGGACTTAAAGTATCCAAGAAATTGGGCTCCATTGACAAATGTATTTTTGTAAAGTACAAGGGGATAAAAATAGGTCATGAATAACTATATGTCAGCCAGCTACAGGAGAGAGAAAGTATAATAGAAGTGGAAGCATAAGTTCGGTAAGTACAAATGAACCCTCCCAACTGAAGCAAGTGAATGTTTTAAGACCATCATTCAGAATTTTCAAAGTAATATAATTTTCCCTCCATTGATTCAAGATGCTCATATATTGGATATGGGGCATTTTTCCAGATCATTCTCTCATCCTCTAAAGTTTTAACACCAGATGACCAGTGATTCTCAGAGTATGGTCCCCGGACTAGCAGTAGCAGTCTTTCCTGGGACCTGTTCGAAGTGTGAGTCCCGTGGCCCCACTCCAGATCTACTGAAACCCTGGGAGTGGTTGTAGGAGCCCTCCAGGTGATCCTGATACATGCTGCTGTCATCAGATTTACTCCTTTCTCTCTCACATTTTGTTAGTGCTTGAAGGATTTAAATGTATCCTTTATACCCTCCTCACCCTGTATTTCAGCCAGAAACTTTGTGAATTAAAAAAATGCCACGTAAATGCAAGATGGTATTGGTGCTCATTTTAAGGGCTACCCAGTTATCCAGGCTTGCGATAAACCTGGTCTCTTACAATAAAGTGCTATCACTTGGGAACATAGTGTATATCAGAGCTGTGCTTTCTCAGGACTGCGTGTTATTTGCTCGTAGTTCAGCGTCACAGCCGTATGATCCTGTCAGCCTCAGTCATGTCCCAGGCTCTGCCAGCTTGCTCCGAGCCAGTGACTCTGGGTGGTGGTTCGTGCCAGAGCTCCTGCCCCCGGTCTGCTCACGCGGTCTTTGTTAGCAGGCACAGCGACATACAGAAGTTATCACTGACCACAAATCTTTATATCGCCCTCATGTATCTTCTCTATCTTAAGCCAAATCCAAGTCTTCTTTTATCTTATTGCACTAAGCCAAATGAACAGAATTACCCGTGGATTTGTCTGAGAATCAGTCAGTCAAAACTATGACATCAGCAGTTCCCAAACCTAAACCAGGGACCTAAATTGTTAGAATTCCTTGTAACTCTACATAAACCAGAGAATTATTTCCTCTTTCCTCTTTTAACAAATTGGCCAATTGGGAGTAAAGAAACTCCGGGAAATTGTAATGGAATGTCCCAACAGAACTATTTGGATTAAATGGCATCTGTCTCATCTTAATTTCCCTTGAGTCTCAATAAATTAGTTTTGAAGTTGCTTTCAGTTGAGGAGGGCTTATGGGTGCTACAACCTTATCAACAGGAATCTCTGCTGAGCTTAAACACAGTTTCTGGAATGTCCGCCTTCTCCACTCAGTGTGCGTTGCCTTAACGACCAGAAGGTCTAGATGTGCTCCCTTCTATTCCCTCTCATTATGTATACACGTGCGTCAGTGATTGCTGTCTCCCCCCTTTCGTTTCTTTATAACCTTTAGACTGTGAAAGGTGGAATATCTGAAACAAGAATTGAGAAACGCATCGTGATCACGGGAGATGCAGACATCGATCATGACCAGGTAAAGGCCTGAAGTTCTGCTCCTGAGAGTGACCACGTCTCTAAGTTGGGCATGTGTCGTCATGTCATATCCCAGGGTCAGACCCCTTCTCCCAGTGCCTCCTGGATGAATCCACCTCCTAAGCATGGCACAAAGACACTTCCCAACCTAGACACAGCCTGTCCTTTCAGCCTTCCTAATGCCAAGCCAGCATAAAACATGGATTGCTGTTATTTCCCACTGGTTCACGTGCACTTTTTAATCCAAATAATCGAGAGGATTGCTGGCAACCATTAGTTATTCATGTGGGCCTGGCTTAAAGGCAAGGCCCTTTAAGATTAAAAGATGAATGAATTGAAAGATTAAAAAATGAATGGCAGTTTAATGACACTAGCTTCCAAAAACTAAGAAAAGTCACTAAGTTTGACTTATGCCTACTTTTAGGAACTTGTATTTTTTTTAATAACATTAGAAAAATTGGGCCCTTTACCCTTAGGTATTTTCCCCTAATTATTACTATTATTGAGGAGTGGGAGAAGGACATCTGAAGTCTCTTACAAAGTAGAGAATTTACATGGATTCAGAAACATGTTTAAAAGAATTGTGCTTCCATTTTAATGTTAACTTGAGAGGGCTGCGTGACTTTAACAACCAGGTGATGAGTGGAACTCATCTGGTGACTTTGAGGGTAGCTTTAATTTAATTTAATTTTTTTTAAAGATTATTTATTTGAGAGAGTGAGTGAGCGCATGTGCTCACAAGCAGGAGGAGGGGCAGAGGAAGAGGGAGAAGCAGGGAGCTTGATGCAGGGCTCATTCCCAGGACCTTGGGATCATGACCTGAGCCAAAGGCAGACGCTTAACTGAGCCACCTACGTACCCCGAGGGTAGCTTTCATTTTAGGCTGCAGTCCCAAGTGATGTGAATTTTTTGTTTTGTCATTTTCTGAGTGATTTTAACTCCGCTTTAAAGGAAACCAAGCTATTTTCTTTTATAACAACTTGAAGGAAAGGAAATGTTCAACTGACCATCTCGGCTGGGGAGTCAGAACAGATGAGAGTTACCCAGCTTTCAACACAACGTTGAACTCAGGAAAGAGAATTTTAGAGAACAGAACTTCTCATTTTTTTTTTTTTTTTTTAAGGTTTTTTTTTTTTTTTTTTTTTAAAGATTTTATTTATTTATTCATGAGAGACAGAGGGAGAGAGAGAGAGAAGCAGAGGGAGAAGCGGGCTCTCCACTGAGCAGGGAGCCCGATGCGGGACTCGATCCCAGGACCCCGGGACCATGACCTGAGCCGAAGGCAGACGCCCAACCATCTGAGCCACCCAGGCGCCCCAGAACTTCTCATTTAAAAGCTCACTCTGTGTGACCAAAGAGAAATAGATTTTCTTCTCTGCCTAAAAAGAAAACAACATTTTGTAAACCCCTATAAATGTGATTTTCCTTATGTCTTTCCTGATGTATTTTTTTCATTCCTTGAGAGCTATCAGAGGTTAAAGCGTTGCCCTGACTCTGAATTTTGACTTTGTAGTAGAGATTCCTAGTAGTTGACCAGTACCTGTGTCTGTTTGCCATGGGAAAATGAATGACCCCGTGGAAACGAAGCCTCCAGCTCCCCGTAGAGAGGATTTCTTCTCTGCTGGGACAGTTTTTAGCTCCTCTGACCTAAGTTGGAGCAAACTCTGTTCTTTTTTTCCCCACTGGGACTCAAGCTCAGCCAGCATTTATTGAATTCCTATGGTGTGAGAGGCGGGAGCCCACATTCTTTGGCATGATGAAAAGTGAAAATCGGGGTCTTCTCCCAGCCTCCACTGAACCTTTGCACTTTCTGGCTTTCTGATGCCATGTTTTCCTTCCGAGGATTATTCTCAGGTTTTATGTGCATATTCTTGTCTTTGGGCCTGTTGTAACAGTACTGCCTCTGAATAGCAAATAATGAAAACACACTTTGAAATGTAAGTACCAAAATAACACATATTCCTGACTCTTACATTAGGAAAAAACCCGCAGCTTTACCTGTGACTGCAGGGACAGGGCCTTGTTTGTGCGATGTGGTGCTTCAACCCGCTTTAAAACCGAGGGCAGATACCCAAATGAGAGAGGAGATAATTTGATGTTTTCATAACTTTTTCATGTTTAAGTATGAGATGCATCAACTTTTTTGAGTATGTTTAATTGTGGCCTCTGGTATGCTTGTACTGGAAGCTCAGGAAGCTCCCTCTCTCCTTACTGCCTGTAATGAGACCATGAAAGTATTTAAAATTAGAAGGAAATCACTTCCCTGCCAAAAACAGAAGCCGATCGTGTAGTGACTTGATATCATTGACCCCCTTTTCAGTTCCTTGCCCTATATTAAAAGAATTTTAGTAGTGGAAAGAAACCCTTCCTCTGAGGGCGCCTGGGTGGCTCAGTCGTTAAGCGTCTGCCTTCGGCTCAGGTCACGATCCCAGGGTCCTGGGATCGAGCCCCACATCGGGCTCCCTGCTCTGCGGGAAGCCTGCTTCTCCCTCTCCCACTCCCCCTGCTTGTGTTCCTGCTCTTGCCATGTCTCTCTCTGTCAAATAAATAAATAAAATCTTAAAAGAAAAAAAAAAGAAAGAAACCCTTCCTCTGAGCAAGACAGGAAGAAAGGAATCGTGCATTTAGAGACCCTTGCTTTGCAGGCAGTTCACCCTGTGTACGTCCCAGCTCCGCACCAGGGACGTAGGACTCTGCGGTTACCCCTCAGAGTGTCTGTTTCTTTCTAGTAAAATAACTTCTCAATTTAGCAGGAGGATGTGATAGTTTTCTCACAGTCTTTACTCTTGCCATCGTAACTTAACATTTTGCAGTATTTAATTTCATGTACTGATATTACAGAACGAATGGAACTAATGGTACACGGATTTCAAATGTGTTTGAAGACGATTGAGCAGTTTTTGGTTTTCCCTACTTTTCTGCTAATGAAAACATGTTTCACATGTGTTCCCTTCCCTTAGGCATCATTTGTATTTCCCCTTTAACGTTTGTACTGGTTTAATGTAGGCAGATCTTTGTAATGAACGTGAATTAAAAAGTATCTGACAAGGCGTCTGTAGCTACATTTGGCTCCTATCGGAGCTGTCCCTTTCCCAAACTGGATTCCCGGAACCGAAGTGGAGTAGTCCGTTTCGACCGTTCCGATCTCTCCCTTCCCCCTGGACACACGCAAATGTGGAGCCACTCTGCTACAGTCTGGCTCCCATCCGCATCCCCACCAAACGCACCTGGAAACACTTTCCGACATCCTCCGGGATAGACGCCGCCCTTCTCCGTAGCCCACTCTCGCCCTCCAGCCCGCCTGCTCCCACCACAGTTGTGCTGCTCGAATGCCAGAGTCCCCTGCTTGAGTTCGCTCTGGTCCTGACCCTGGTGGATCACCAGAGTTTGTTCCCTAGTGGAAATTTAAGCACCCTCAAGTGTCTTCCAAGCTTCTGTGTAAAAATTTTGGGTGTAAAACCTCTTTTTCTATAGCTTTACCTTTGTGCGTGTGTGGACTCAGGCCCCGGGTTTTGTTCAGTAACCTTTCAGCGGACAGAAGTGCAGTCGTCCCGTCCCGCCGCTGGCCGAGGCGCAGGAAAACCTGTGCTGCTGCTTTCAAAGGCGTGGTTTCCTCGAAAACTTCCCTTTTTGTCTTAGACATCTTTCCTAGACTTTGCGTGATGTTCCATGGTGTTTTACTTTCTCCCCAAGACATCTTTAAACTTGTTTCCCCTCAGAAAAATAGGCTCTTTCCACTTTGTCACAACACCTGTACGTGGACACTTTGCCAGCCTCCTCCTCGCCCGGTCTGGGAAGGGCCTGTGCGGTAGCGGAGGGGACCCTAAGTCCTGCTCCTGCCCACAGCCTAGCAGCAGCTTGGCCTTGAGCACTGCCTGTTGACCTTTGCACCTCCAGTGGTTTTGCCTGTAAAATACAGACCTGCACTTGCTCAAGAGGCGTCTCTCTTCTTTCCCTTTGCTGATTGTATGTCACCATTGCTGCGGCTGTTTTTATTGTTCTGTGCCCTCGAAGTTTAGAGATCTTTCTCCTGCAACATAACAGCTCAACCAACATTTTGCCTCGGTCAGTTAGTGAGAGCCCACAGGGATAGGGATGAGCAAGGCCTGCTCCTGCGTCTGGGTGTTTGAGGCCGTGGGTGACAGCAAGTGCCCCGTGAGTGTATAGGACAGGCGCTGGGCTGGATGCTTGACATCCTCCCTCCAGGCTGTACAGCGAACCTTAAAATGATCCTCACAGCCTTAGCATTAGTCTCGGGTTACAGGTGAGAATATGAAGGTCAGAGAAGATCTGTTTCCTCCAAGTTTCACAGCGGGTACAAGGCTGGGGTTCAGAGTCTGCGCATTTCTTCTGCATGCACCATTATTTGAAATGACTGGAAAATGGGAATTGGGGGAAATAAGAAACGTTCTCTAAAATGAACCGTGAGCCCATTTCAAATCCCTGCTTCCTCAAAGCAATAAAACCATCCTTGCTGGAGCTGGAATCCCAGTTGAGCAGCATACGTGTGTTTTGCCATCCTGAGAAGCAGCCTGTTCCCCTGCTCATGGCGCGCTCTCCTGACCTTGGCAGGCGCTGGCCCAGGCCATCCGGGAAGCCCGAGAGCAGCACCCGGACATGTCGGTCACCAGAGTGGTGGTGCACAAAGAAACGGAGCTGGAGGAAGGGGAAGACTAAGTAAGGTAAGAGAATCCGTGTCGTCTGGGGCCTCTGTCCTGGCAGTCCGAGCTCCTCACCCTGCCAGCGGACGTGAAATGTACTTCTCCATCACAGTGTCTGTCTCTTACGGTCCGTTTGAGTCTTCAGACTTCATTATCCCAAGCACCTCTGCTCACGTTCCCTGCATAAAATTATGAACTCTCTTGACCGATGGGCATGTGATGTTAATAACCGCCATGTATTGAGAATGGCTAATAATTGACATTTCTGTGTTGTTTTACTATTAACAAGTACATCAGTGTAAGTTCTCTTTATTAATGTTTACAGTGACCCTTTGAGGAAGGTGCCATTGCCTTCATTTAGGTGAGGCATTTTTGTTGTAGGGGGCACAAAGGGGAGAGGAGTTAATTCCCTGAAAATATACATGAAGAATTGTGTATCAGAGAATGAACCATAAAGGAAAAGATTGCTTTGGCTATATAAAAATTTAAAACTTAAAAGGATAAAATGACAAAGTTCAATATACCTGGCAGAGAAGGAGTCAATATCGTGAATCTGTCACTGACTCTTCTGTCTCATCAAAAAATTCAAGCACTTAAGTAGAGAAATGGGCAAAGGATTAATCTAGTAAACCACAGAGAAGCTAGGTGAACAATAAATAAAAAATGTTCAGCCTCATGGCTTAAATCAATACAAGTTAAAAATTCAGTGTGTAAGTTTTCACTTATAAATCTGGCAAAGTTTATGTTTTTAGCTAGTGTTGGGTAGCTTGTGAGAGGGAAAATGTTACTCCTCTGCTGCTTTATAAACTAGTAACATTTCTGGAGGACAGTTTGGCAAAACCCACATTAAGTGTGCCTAACATTTAAACCACTTTAAGAATTTATCTTAAATAATCAGAGATGTATACAAAGACTTACCTACAAGAGTATTTCTCACATTGTTTCAAATTTTTTGCTAGTATGTATAAAAATCTAAATGGCCCACAGTAGGGATTGGTTTTGCCTTAATGCTGCTTCCCTGTGATCACTAAAATATAGCCATTAAAAGTTGTGCTAAAGAATTCTTAGTGGAATGAGAAATGTTCAGAATTATGTATGTATTTAAAAGGTAGGTTTTATTGCATAGCACATATACCAAGATTGTTTTTTGCTTTTTTGTTTTTGTTTTGTTTTTAAAGTGATCTGTACACTGATTGGTTAATAGCCCACAGGCATGGCTGGTCACAGACTACACATCTTCCAGCTTGTGATAAGGCCCAGGGCTTTTCCATCACAGGAAGTGAGGACTCCCACCATTGCATCGTCTCCCCTCTGACTTTTTAATTTATGCCCAACTGACTGATATGAAATTACATCTGATTTTCTTGTTCTTACTGATCTTGATAGATTCTGCATACTAGTCCTCTGTTAATTTTTATGTGCTGCAAATATCTTCAGGTTTGTGGTTTGTCTTTTGTTCTCGAAGGGGAGGTATAAATATTAAGAAACAAAATGTAATTGCAAATGTGATAAATGCTCTGAAGGAAATAATGGGATAGGAGAGAACCAAATATAGTTGTTGGTATATTGAATGTAGTTATTAATGGAAGCTAATGTAGTTTACTTATCACGCTTTCCTTTATGGCTTATGCTCTTCCCATACCCTGAGGTGTTAGGGATACTGTCGATCCAGGTATTTGAATGTTGCTTTTCATAGATCAATTCTTTATCCATAAGAAATTGGTTTTTCTGTGTGGTGAAAAACATCACTGTTTTTTACTTTTGTTTCCTTGAAAAGTAGCCAGTGGTCCAGCCCCGTTGGTTGAAGAACCCATCCTCTCCCCTCTGATCTGCGGATCCTATATCCAGTTTCTTGTATGTGTGGGGGGCGTTTCTGGGCACTTTGGTTTCCATTAGTCCATGTGTCTGTCCCTGATCTAATGCCAGACTGTCTAAACTACTATAGCTTTAAAGTGAGTCTTGGTATCTGGTAGGAGGTGTCTCCCCAACTGTGTGTTTTTCTTCAGGAGTATCTTGTCTATTCTGGGCTCTTTCTGTTCCATATAAATTTCAGAATCAGATTGTTGGGTTCTAAGATAACCCTGTGGTATTTTAATTGGAACTGCATCTAGTTTGTAGCTTGAATGGTAAGAATTACATATTTATGATATTAAGTATTCTTTCCCACAAACATAAAATATCTCTCTCCATTTATAGAGGTGTTTTTTAATGTCTTCCAATAAAGTTGTGTAATTTTTTACCCAGAAGAGGTCTTACAAATCTTTTCTAGCTGTGGCTGGTATAGGAAGATACAATTGGCTTTTCAGTACTCGCCTCGTGTCTAGCAACCTTACTCTTTATATGTTAGATGCTGTTTTCAACACAGGGTGTACAAAAGGCCTACAAGCAGAAATCATCTAAAGCTTGAGCATAAGCAGAATATCCATTTAACTGAATAAATGTGCTGTTATGTGCAAGGCTGAGCACTTTCTTGGCTATCCATCAGAATATCAAGGGCTCTATTTTAATCTTGCTAGATCTCAAACTATGTGACATTGGGCAAGTCAGCAGGACTGGTACAATCTACCTTTCCTAATTCGTAGGCTTTATTATAAGAATATAATAAGGTAATGAATGAGAAGATTTAGTGTTACACAAATACAAAAATATTGGGTATTTCTCCTGAATTATGTTACTTAACCAGGAACATAAGACAAAAATTAGTGACCAGTGTGAGCATTACCAATACCCCACTTTCATTTGTGGCGTTTTATTAGGTTTTAAAGTGAATTAGTTATATCCGTTATCCCCAGCACCTATACTCATCTTGGCAGTGGGCATGCATGTACACACACGCACATTGCCTTTGAAGTTTGCCTGTCTCAAAGGACACCTTTTATAGGCAGCCTTGTTAAACAGATTTAGGCAGTTAAAATGTAAATTCACATGTAAGGTGAGCAAACTAGATAAATTTGGAAAGATTCAGTCATCCATTCAAAAAATATGAGAACCAAAGTGTGCTAGGGTAGAGCGAGGCGCTGAGGATGCAAATGGTCAAACTGGTAAACCGAACAAACAGAGTCCCCTTTCTCGGGAAAGGATCCGCGCTGGGAGGGGAGGTATAAATATTAAGAAACAAAATGTAATTGCAAATGTGATAAGTGCTCTGAAGGAAATAATGGGATAGGAGAGAACCAAATAGACTTACACTGCTGTAAATTTAAGCTTTCCCTTGAGACACCGAGTTTGAGTTGAGATCTGAAGGACGAATAGGAGTTACCTCGGCGTCTCCAGTCATTGTAGCACCCCCACCTCCTGCTGGCTCGGCTTGTTCTGGAAGACTTTCCCTCGCCGGTGCCTGTCAGGGCTGGGAGGACGAGTGCGCGTGTACCCCTTCAGCTACCCACTGGCTGCCCCACCAGGATCCCACAGAGGCAGCAGGTGGGCCGAGGCAAAGAGCAGGCCAGTCGCTGAACGCCAGAAAAAGAACTCTTGGTGATGTATCTGCCCCGTCTCCCTTTCTCGGACATGGGAAGCTCTCGTCCTGATCTGACCTGACCTCTTCCTTTGGAGGAGCTCTGAGCTTCTGATGAAGCATTGAGAGTAGGGCGAGGGGAGCACGCGGGAAGATGGTGCCAGAAGAGCGCGCGGAGGGCCGAGCCTCCCGAGGCCGCCGCGCTCCGCTGGGTGCTGGCCGCTGCGAGGCCGAGAGGAGCCGCACACAGACGCCGTGAAGAAGGAAACACGCTTCAGAGGAGTCCTTGACTAAATCTTCGTAACTGATTTTTTTTTTTTTTTTTTTCCTGTGTTCTGTGAAGGACTCCTCTCTCCCTGGTTCATCCTAAATGCATGTTTACGAGCCCATGTTAGCAGCCTTTTCGCCGCTGGAATGGTGTCCCCCTAACAGTCCCCGGAAGGAAGAAGAGTCCTGCCTGCTGGTTTGGTCTGGGCGGCCTCAGAAAGGAGGACGAGCCCCAGGACGGGGAGCTGGCGACTTGGCTTCAGTTGGCACCGTCCCCTCTCTGAAGCCAGACTTGAGACAAGTCCCTGTGACTCCTGCAGTCGTCACTGATGTGTAGGATAAAAAGCAAATGACACCTCCTTTTCAGCCGAAAGCAGTGAGCAGCCAAAGGAGGGAATGTTGGAGGAGCAGCCTCTCTCATCCGCTCGCTTGTTTTACTCTTGTTGTTGTTGCTCATTACACCAATATATGCGGAATGCCCATTTCGTGTCTTCTGTGTACCGTGAAGGTTCAGCTCAAACAAGGTCTGCACTCACAATAAATCACGGCAGCAGAATAGAGTCTCTGGTTTGAGGAAGTGTTCTGGGCTGCGTTTTGTAGGAGCCAAAGGGCAAGATCTCTACGTTAGGATGGGGTGTCAGATGGCTTCTCACTTGAGCCCCCAGGAGAGTAGGAATAGCTCAGGGAAGAAAGGCACGGAAGGGGGCATTCCAGGCAAGAGCTGGTACCGTGAACCTCACACTCTGAGAATGGTGCAGAATCAGGCGTGGCCGGGCTGCAGGACACGTGCAGGGGGAGAGCAACGGGAGTTGAGGGGGCCAGAGAGACAGAGGCCTGACCATAAAGAGTCTCACAAGCCAGGCTAAAGCGGTTAAGCTCTATTTGGAAAAGTGAAGGGGAAGGTATGCCTCATGTATTTGAGAGATGATAAGGGGGTAGAGGTTTGTGACTCTGGTGACTGTTTGCTTCGGGATAAGGAAGTTAGTGACTTGGGAAGATGGCAGGGCAGGGGAGAATCCCAGGCTTCTGGCATGAGCAAATGAGTTGATGGTGGTACCTGTAATTTCAGTCTTGGGATACAGGTGTTATTTTTCCACAAGCCACGCACAATATGGCCAGTTTCCCAGCTCAGCTGTCTTGAAGCAGAGGTGTATTTTTTGTTCTTGGTACCACAGGAGAGCGTACCTGCCATGGGCATTATGGGGGAAGCTTGGAAGTGAATCTGTAAGGCCCTGTCTTACACACACGCACACGGCATGGTTATTTGGAAATTTACCAGATAGTCTGAGTGTTAAGAGGA